TAGAAATTGACAAGTTGATCCTAAAATGTCTGTGAAAAAGCAAAGGAATTCAGGAGGCCAAAACAATTTTGAAAAATAACAAAATTTAGATAGTGTAGAACTGGCATAAGGACAGAAATACAAATTAGCAGAACAGAACAGGGAGCTCAGAAACAGAGCCACACATAATCTGAACTGATTTTCAATAAGGCAAAATGAAAATTCAGTGGAAAAGATAGTCTTTTCAACAAATGGTGCTAGAAAAAGTGGATATACATATCCAAAAAACCAAAACAAAACCCAAACACAACCCCACACACAACTTGGATATATACTTCACACTATATACTAAAATCAGAGATTTAAATGCAATTCCAAAAAGTATAATTCTTCTAGAAGAAAACAGAAAAATCTTTGTGACCTCAAGTTAGACAAAGATTTCTACACACAAAAAATGAAAAAAAAAGATGATTAAACTGGACTTTATAAAAAAATTTTAAATTCTGTATTTCACCCGGCTGGTGTGGCTCAATGGTTGAGTATCAACCTATGAACCAGGAGGTCACAGTTTGATTCCAGGTCAGAGCACATGCCTGGGTTGTGAGCTCTTTCCCCAGTAGGGGGCATGCAGGAGGCAGCTGATCAACGATTCTCTGTCATTATTGATGTTTCTTTCTATCTCCCTCTCCCTTTCTGAAATCAATGAAAAAAAAAAACATTTTTTAAAAATTACGTATTTCAAGACACTGTTAAGAAAATGGAAAAGACAAGCCATAACTGAGGAGAAAATATTTGCAGTTTAATAGATTACTTTAATCAACAATTCTATTTTGTAAAATAGGAAAAAATTTGAACAGATACTTTACCAAAGAGATAAGAATGGCAAATAAACACATTAAAAATGTTGAAACTCATTAGTCAGTAGGAAAATGCAAATTAAATTACCACTAAACGCCTATCAGAATGGCTAAAATGAAAACAACCTTCAATACAAAATGTTCACATGGAATCAGTGTAATAAGAACTCCCATCTGTGGCTGGTGGGAATGTAAAATGATATATCCACTTTGAAAAATATTTAGTAGTCTTTATAAAGTAAAAAAAATACACTTTATCATACAACCCAGTTTCCAACTACAAGGTATTTACCAAAGAAAAATTAAATATGTCTATCCAGAGACCTGTACATGAATGTTTATTGCATCCTTATTCATAATAGCCAAAAGACTAGAAAATCAGTTGGTGAATGGATAAACAAATTGTAGTACATCCTGAACAAAGACTCCTACTCAGAAATAAAAAGGAGTGAACTATTGATAAATGCAAAAACATGGATGAATTTTTAAAACATTATACTAAGTGAAAGAAAGGCTCAAAATATTAAATCCTGTATGATTCCATCCATATGACATGAAAAAAAGTAAAACACTAGGGTAAAATCAGTGCTTGTCAGGGGCTAGGTTGGAAATGATTTATATCTTGAATACGTTGGTGGTTGCACCCATAGTATAATATGTCCAAGTTCCTCATATTGTATACCTAAAAAAGAGGAATTTACTTTATGTAAACATGACCTTTTTTTAAAAAGAAAAATCTAAATGTTTTAAATGGGGAAAAAAAAGAAAAAAGCAGTTACCAGTGAGAGGTGATTTTTTTTTCTATTTCAATTTAAAAGCATTGAACGCAACATATTTCTTTTGCATTATAATGTCTTTACAAGTTGTGTTCTTTACTTGTAAGTAGGAAAAGATAGTGTATCGTGCTATTTTCTTTTCCTGGCTGACATGGCGGAAACTTACGCGCATATTATTACTAAGTGAGCAAAGTCAATCTGAAAAGGCTACAAACTATGATTCCAGCTATGTGCCTTTCTGGAAAAGGCAAAACTAAGGAGACACTAAAAGGATTAGGAGTTGTCAGGGGTTGGAGGGAGGAAAGGATGAACAGAACACAGAGGATTTTAAGGCAGTGAAACTATTGTGTATGATGCTACAATGGTGGATACATATCCATCATACATTTGTCCAACCCCATAGAATGTACACCACCAAGAGTGAATTCTAATGTAAACTATGGACTTTGGGTGATCATGATGTGTCTATACAGCTTCACTGATTGTAATAAATGTATCACTGTGGTGAGGGGTGTTGAAAGTGGGGGAGGGGAATGAGGAATACATTTTGGTGTGAACCTAAATTTGATCTGAAAGAATACTGTTAAAATAAATAAATAAAAACATTTTTTTCAAAGGATAAATAATATAGACAAGCCAAAATGTTTTTCTTATTTAATGCATACATCTCTGAATATCTGTTCAAAGAATCATACTTCCTAAGTAGCCATAAATGACAAACCAATTTTTCATTTATATGTAAATATAAGTGTTTTATCTACCTATTAAAGTGTAGCTAATCTATTATTCAAGTCAATGAAATAAACAGTAAAATCCCTAAAACCATATTAGTCGGGGCCTTTCTCTGCCTATTTTATTTTTTTTTAATATATTTTTTTATTGATTTCAGATAGGATGAGGCTCAACCATTGACACCAGCTGGGCTCTCTGCTATTTTAATTCCTAGAAATGAGACCTAGGTGTTTCCATAGTTCTCAAGCACCTCAGGTGATTCTTATTAATCAAGTTTAAAACTAGAAGATAGTACACAGATTTGAGTAACAGAGACACTGATAAAGCATATAAAAGTTTCCAATAAAACTAACAAACCAGGTAACAGTTGCAAGAAAGAAAAAAAAGTCAGTAATAAGGCATCGCATTTCTGGGAGATACCAGAAAATAATGAAAAAATACAATTGGTCTGGGGCACTGTTTCACGTGCTGGGGATACAGCAGTGAAGAAAATAAAGTCTCTGCCCTAATGGAACTTACATTCTAGTGAGGAGGCACTCAATGACAAATGATAAAATATACATAAAGACAAGTACTGGCAAGTGCTAGAAGAAAAAGCATAATAAAGCATATAAAATGACAGGAACGTGAGCACTCCTAACCACTTCCGGTGTGGTGCAGAGGGCCAAATATACTTAAATATACTTTTACTGAAATAAACTTAAAATTAACAAGCCTTCACTTACCTTTGAAGTCCTAGTGTCAGGAGAGGAAACCAAAGGAGACATCCCACCACGGTCTCAGGAGCAATGAGCAACCAGGCAAGTGTACCTGTCGAGTCCCATGAGCTCGCTGTTTCTAGAGGTGGTTGGTGGGTAAGTCCCTCTCCAATCCTGGACCCTAGCTCTGCGCTTTTGCATTATGAGCTTTCAGACTCTATCTGAGCATTTCTTTTTCCCCACCAGATCTGGAACCCCGCTGGAGTCAGACTGGGTCCGTGGTGGGGCCGGTGCGATTTCAGCTTATCTGGGGATTATGGGAAGCCTCCGGTGAATAACATTTGTTTTTAAGGCTGAACGAACAGGTTAACTCAATCAAACAGATTATCTTTAAGTACAGTTGCCATGGTAAAGTTAACCAAGAATTCATTGTTAAACAAGGCCATTAGACTCAGGTGGCTCCAATGCCATGGTCGCCCACTCTACATTTGAGTCTTGATAGTTTGAATTATAAATCTATGACATTTATGGTCCAAAGATCATTTTCTAGTCAAAAACATATAGTGCACAGATAAGAATTACGACATTGCTCCCTAGCGCAGCGGTTCTCAACCTGTGGGTCGCGACCCCTCTGGGGGTCGAACGACCCTTTCACAGGGGTCGCCTAAGACCATCGGAAAACACATATAATTACATATTGTTTTTGTGATTAATCACTATGCTTTAATTATATTCAATTTGTAACAATGAAATTGGGGGTCACCACATGAGGAACTATATTAAAGGGTTGCAGCATTAGGAAGGTTGAGAACCACTGCCCTAGTGTATACTTTTTAAAAAAATATTTAATTGCTTTCAGAGAGGAAGGGAGAGGAGAGAGAAAAACATCAATAATGAGAGAATCATTGATTGGGATCAATCAATGATCATAGGTCGACACACAACTGCATATAGCCAGGCCCTAGTGCATATTCCTGTTAAGTCTCAAGAAAGTAAAATGTGTAAATCAGTCTAAAATCTACACAACCCTTTCATTATTTAACTACAAAAAGATTACAGAGTTATCCTATGTAACCTACAACTGTAAAGGTTCTAATTTTACTAAACCACTCTGAATATAATGAACAAATCATTCACAGCTTTCCAGTCTGCAAATTATTTTCTAATATATCCTAAACAAAAATATTTTCTTCATAAGCAAACAGGCCATTGCTTTTCATAAGAATCATTTATTGTATATTATTAAAGTGGAAGGTTAATTGGTACAGTACTATGCATAATCTCTTATCCTTGAAAAATTAAACACAAATGGATAAAAATGCAAAGCAGAATGAGCATGTAAAAGACAAAAATAAGCATATTTTATTGAAAATGTTCCCTGCTATATCTATGTACTAATGTTCTTCTCCATTGTTTTAATAAATTTATGGCTTATTCCTCTTCTATGTAATTACTGACTTCTTACAAATGAACATATCTTCCATCAATTAATGTTACATACAGTTTTAGATTTTTCATTCAACTCCACTAGTTGACTGAAATATTCAACTAAACATAGAATTGTTAAGAATCCATTCCATTGTCTCAAAAAATGTTAATACTGTTCTTTTATGAAATTTGCACAATAGGATCTAATCCAAATGTCCCAACTACAAAGTGATGAATTAAAAATGTCAATCCTGATTTGTTTTCTGTGTTAATTCTCATTAAGCATTACGTTTTTTTATTCACTGCTATCTTATGGAATAAATAATCATTTATAGTTAAGTGTGGTAAACAGTGAAAAAGCTTAAAAAATGTGTACCAGTACTGAACTGTTTTATCACTTTTATATTGGTTATAAATGAGATATTTAAAAATTGAATTATTCCCCATGTTATGAGATATATCAGGAAAAAAAAGATCATTCTTCAGAGTAACTATCTAAAAGAAGAATCACTGCTTAAAAAAACAACAAAAAATGGAAAGCAAGCTTTATTTTGTACCCTTAATGTAAATTTTAGACCTAATTGGATAAACAGAAAATATTTTAAAAATACATCTATGAACAAATTTCTGTAGATTGCTCCCACACCTAAATCAATAGGGACACACTTAAGAATATTATTGGAATATATCAATATATTTGTCAAAGATTCAAATTTGTTACATTACAGCACACATCCAAAAATGTATGCTACACGAGTCAAAAATTCCCATTGAATATAACAAAATAAAAATCTATGAATAAATATAAGGCATTTTGAAATAATATCTGCAGAAAACCAAAAAGAGGCCAACAAAAACTCCTATGACCTAAATTTTACGTCATAGATTCATATGGTCCTCAAAATAGATTTAGTTGCAGTGCTATACATTAACTATATTCAACTGCTTACCAAAATATCCATTTTCTGGCAGCTAAATGTTACTACTTAAAAAAAAAAGTTAAGTGCCTTTTTTCTTAAATGAGTGAATAAAAATGCAGCAGAAAATTACAGGAGCCCACATATCCTTTTTCTTAAATTTAATTTGTCATATATAAGGTTTTTATATACAATCAGTGTGCATTGTAACAGTTATATTATAAAAGTCAATCAAGTTTATCTAAAATGTTACCTGACTGCATAGCACATTTGACATTATTGCCCACATGAAAAGGGAAAACAAATGGATTTACAATAACTTTTGGCCATTTTGAATTCTGAAAGTGTTCATACACTTACCCCTTTTAAACCAAATGCATCTGAAAATGTTTCCAGAGCATGCAGTTTAGATTTTACATATTATCTCACCATTTTGCTACTACATACACACTACTGACCAAAAAATAAAATAAAAATGTAAAAGGAAAGAAATAACATGTATCTAATAAAATAATCAATATAAAAAGAGGACTAATGGAATTAAGTAGCCCCTTTCCCCATTTTTTACATTCTAAACAATGATTCCATCAAGACAAATCATTAAAAAGTGTTGTTACACTGATTTTTTTTAAACAATAAGAAGGCCTGAGTTGGTAGGGAAAGGAACAGTCAAAAAAAGCCTGAGAAAGGGAAGGAAGTAAGGAAAGCTCATTTAATCTATTTACAATAATTTACAGTCAATTTCTGTGTATGTAAAAAGGCATAATAATAGATCACAAACAGGAAGTTCCTGGCTATTTTACAGATATAAGTACAGAATTTAAATATTCAAGCTTGTGATGAAAAGCGGCAAGGTGGTCGCAGTGTACAATGTAAACAAGTAGCTTTGGAAAGTGAACAAAATCCTTGAGTGTTTTTTCTTTATTAAGAAAAGAACTCTCTTTCATTCCTTCCTGAAACATGATCACAGGTCAGAGTAAAGTTCATATACAAACATAATTTAAATGGAGGTCAGTCTAAAATCACTGACTTAAAAACAGTTTATCCAGCCTATATGGAAGGGCAGTGTTGAGGTCCCTGTAAGAGTAAACATTTTTCATTTCTTTAAAAAAGAAAAAAAAAAAGTACTACAATATTTGTAGCACAGTGCAGCATAATCCTTAAATATAAAAATATTTTCTCTTCTGTTGGGATAATAGACCTTGCATCCTGGAAAGAAGTAACAATACTGCTACTGATAGAAGATCTGTTTATATCTTTCAAGTCATGTAAGGCAATTACTGTGTTGGTTTATGATATATGGCTAAAAGAAAAGTCCAGAATGACAAAATATCAGTTTTTGTTATGTTTTCCGATTACTCCAGGTATGCTCAGGTGTACTTTTGTGTTCAATTGAATGTTCAAATGGAGATCTGGAGCCATAAGGAGACCTCTGATCTAGTGGTGATCTAGGCCCACTACTGGAAGCTCTGTGGTCCATTTGCCAATCTGAGTGATACCTATAATCCCTGGAAGATTTATGATGTGTATATTCAGAACTTGACCGATGATCTGAATGAGAGCGATGATCTGAATGAGATCTATCTTTTAAACTTCCTTCCAAATTTGACCTGTGATCTCTACTTCTGTGATCATCCAGTTTTCTGTGTTTTTCTCTATCATTATAATATCTAACAAAAGAGAAAACAGAAATATTAGTTAAATTAATACAAATTAAATGTTTCAAAATGAATAACATCTTATTAAAAATAAAACAAAATACTTTAAAGTATACTTTTAATTGTATAAAAGTTCAGTGTTTCACTATAAAACTTCGTAAGTAAGCTTAAAAATCACTGGAAATAACTGCGCTTTTGAAAAACGATTTGATTCATAAAACTAAAGTGAACCATACAGACCACCTCAGATAGCATCTAATTTCACACGCCCGTTTTATGTTGTTTGCTACTTTTCATTTTATGCATCTTTTGTATTAATGCATCTTAATTATCTGGAAGCTAGAATTAAGATAACTACAACTATCTAGAATACACTTGAAATCAGAGCCTTTTTATATGAGCCTCTAAGCACAAAAAAATAAAAACCTCTAAAATGCAGTCTATGAAATAACTTATAAAAGAGAATTTTCACTGGTTTGCTGATGTCTTTTAAAAGCTTTCCTGAGGTTTGATTAATAAATTGAACATTGATGTTTTTTGGTTCATGAAAGGGCCTTATTATAAACTAGAGGACCAGTGGACGAAATTCGTGCATGGGGGGTGGGGGGGGAGTGGTGGTCCCTCAGCCCAGCCTGCACCCTCTCCAATCTGGGACCCCTCGAGAGATGTCTGATTGCTGTTTAAGCCCGATCCCGGTGGGCCTAAACGGGCAGTCAGACATCCCTCTCACAATCCAGGACTGCTGGCTCCCAACTGCTCGCCTGCCTGCCTGCCTGCCTGCCTGATTGCCCCTAACCGCTTCTGCCTGCCAGCCTGATCACCCCCTAACCACTCCCCTGCCAGCCTGATCGACGCCTAACTGCTCCCATGCCAGATTGGTCAACACCTAACTGCTCCCCTGCCGGCCCAATAGCCCCCAACGTCCCTCCCCTGCCGACCTGCCCCCCCCCCCCAACTGCCCTCCCCTGCTGGCCATCTTGTGTCCACATGGGGGCGGCCATCTTGTGTGTTGGAGTGATGGTCAATTTGCGTATTACCTTTTTATTAGATAGTATAATATAAATTGTTTCTATAAGCCTATGACATTATAAATATTTACTACTATAAATATGGTCTTTTCATTTTATGCCCTTTTCTAATTTTAAGAGCTATTCTACAATTATGCATTTATAATATGACTGTGCTTCTCAGAGAGAAGAAATTATTGCAGTGAGCACAGTTAAAATACAAAGAAAGTCTACTGACTTCTTTCTCATTTTTACTTTTATTCATTTTTATTTTGCTTCTGGTAATGATCATTAACTAGTAAAAATATTCTTTTATTAATAAAGGAACAAAACATATTATGTTGTCACTATATTCAGGTTGTTTAAAGGCTTTAAAAAAACCCCAAAACAATCTATAATAATAAAAGGGTAATATGCTAATTAGACCAAACATCCTTCCGGGTGTTAATTCCAGCCATCCATCTGGATGAAGCCAGAGTGAAGCACCCCGGGTCCCGGGTGCCTGCCGGCGGCAGGTGGAGCAAAGCCCGGATCCCGGGTACCCGAGGGAAGCTGGTGCTGGCAGCCAGGGGAAGGAAGGCCTACTCTTGCACAAATTTTCATGCATTAGGCCTCTAGTAAACAAATAAAACATCCTGATTTCAGGACCATCTCAGATGCTGTGATTAAATTTAACAGCAATAAGGTGTTTTCAAATAAAATTTTTCCCATTGAGTTTTAAATAGAGTGTAATAAAGAACTCTATCAAATTTCAGCCATATTCCATCAAGCTTTTATTTTACCTTACTAGAAGCCCGGTGCACAAATTTGTGCAAGGGTGGGGTCCCTAGACCTAGCCAGTGATCAGGGATGATTGGGGCTGTCTCATCCAGTCCTAATCAAGGTTGGGCCAATCAGGGTGTGCCGGGGAGGGGGTAAGGATGGGAGAAGGGACCACGGGAGGTTGGCCAGCCGGCGGGGGAGAGGGACCAGCGGGGGGAGGGACCAGGGAAGGTTGGCTGTGGGAGCGCACTGACCACCAGGGGAAGCTCCTGCGTTGAGCGTCTGCCCCCTGGTGGTCAGTGTGCGCCATAGTGCCTGGTTGACCAGTCGTTCCAATCATTCGGTTGTAACGGTCGCTTAGGCTTTTATATATATAGACTAGAGGCCCAGTGCACGAATTCATGCATGGGTGGGGTCTGGTCGGCCTGCCCCAATTGGGGCCAATTGGGCCAGGCCGGTTGGGGGGAGAGGCCATGGGTGTTTGGCCCGCCGGCCCTGCCCCCTGGTCAAACTCCCGGTCAAAGGAACAATTTTCATATTAGCCTTTTATTATATAGAATTATATTTTGAAGAGTTTTTAAGCCAATATTCTCCAAAACCAACAATGAATCTTTGACATAATTATAGAACTCCCTATGCTTTCTTTTTTAAAAAAATTTTTTTCGTTATTGATTAAGGTATTACATATGTGTCCCTATCCCCCCACTCATGCCCTGACACCCTTGGTGTCTGTGTCCATTTGTTAGGCTTATATGCATGCATACAAGTCCTTTGGTTGATCTCTCCCCTTATCCTCCCTCTCCCCCTCCCCTACCTTCCCTCTGAGGTTTGACGGTCTGATTGATGCTTCTCTGTCTCTGGATTTGTTTTTGTTCATCAGTTCCTCCCTATACTTTCATTTTTTATTAAACTTTGATCTTAAATTTATAATTAAAAAAAATTTATAGAAAAATCCAGTACTAGAATTCATATTTTTCTTATTTATAAATAAGCACCTTTATTTCACATAAGGCTTGTTTGATTACTTGATGTTTGAAGTGATAAAAAGGTCAAATATAATAAAATAAAAAACAGAAAGACAGGAATAAGCAAACTTTAAGAACTGACTGTCAGGTTTACCTGCTGTCTTGCTTGTAGTGATCCCAATCACGATGATCTTTTCCATTACTAAAAGAAGAATAGGGCCTTTTCCTAGAGTCGCTCTTTTTGTAAGAATCTCCCTGATGTCGGTCTTTATGATGATCATGATACTGAGATAAGTGTCTATCAGAAGAGTAACTGTCTCTGCTGCTATCATCGTGATTTGTATTCTCTTTTAATCTTTCCACATCTGTTAAATTAAAAAATTCAACTTTTGTTAATGACTTTAACTTTGCTGCTACATTGTAAGAACTCCTGTCTTAACTCCAACTAAACAAAATCAGTTCCCAAATACAGGTAGTTAAAGCATTTAGAAATGGTCTATTAAAGCAGTACTAAGAGTTACAAAAGGGGTCACTTTATTCCAAAATGTGAAAAATCACAACTGAAATATATAAGGCCCATTTCCTACTGAGACAGACTATACTTTTGTGATTCTTGTGCATAAAAAATGCATTACTACATTCTAAATTAATTAATTAATTATCATTTTAATAATTTATCGTATTTTAACAATTACCTACAATTTCTATAAACTGGTAAAAGGTGACTCATGGAAAGGTTAATAATAAGCAAAAAAAGGATTATTAAGATAATAGATTCAATATAATAATGTGGTTATGTATTATCTAAAACAAACCCCAAAAAGGAAAACAATTTTTAAATGTACTTTTTAAAATAATTAGTAAGACTGACTTACCTGGATTTCTAATCACTTGAACATTCACGTTGATGTTCTGGTCATTATTTTGCTAAAATAAATGCACATATGTAAGAATCTTTTAAGCGGTATAATAAACAATTACAAAAAAGGGGTGGGGGACCCTAAAAAGAAAACCTCGAGGCTGAAAGAAGCCCTTATGTATATATGTAGCATTTGCAGGTACCTTTTTAAAAAAATCATAAACTATTTGTCACATGACATTAAAAAATTTGACTTTAAAATAAATTTAGACTTAACAGAAAAGCTGCAAAAATAATACCGAAGAGTTCCCATAGGTCTTTCTTAAAGCTGCTCCTGATGTTAGTATCTTGTATAACCATGGCATAATGATCAAAACTAAGTAGTTAACATTGATACAACACTATTAACTGAACTACATACTTCATTCAAATTTTACATTTTTCCACTAACATCTTTTTTCCACTCCAGGATCCAATCTGGAACTTCATATAACACTTAGGTTTTATGTCTAACTTAGTTTCCTTCAATGTGGGACAGCTCCGTAGTTTTTTCTTGTCTTCCATGATCTTGACACTTTTAAAGAGTACTACAGAGTTACTGTGTGGAATATCTCTTACTTGCCATTTGTCTGGAATTTTCTTATGATTAGATTGAGGTTATGCAAACCACAGAAGTGATGTACCTTTCTCAGTGCATCATATCAGGTGGTTCATGATGTCAATATGTCTTATTTCACTGGTGATTTTAATCACTTATTTTCAGTGGTGTCAGGCAGGTTTCTTTTCTAAATGTTATTGTTTCTCTTTGTAAACATCTTAGAGGAGATACTTTTAGACAATGCTAATATCTCATTTCTTGTTCACTAATTTTAGCTTCCTTCAGAAGCTCTTACCTGCAAAAGTTCTTAATGTAGTACTCTAGTGGTAATATTCTATTTTGTTCATTCCTTCTACATTTATTAACTGAATTCTTCTTTAAGGAAGAATGTCTGTTTTGGTAACATAAATAAGGAAAAAAAATGATGCATTACTTTACCTGAGATTCCTGCCGTTTTTTAATAGCATGCTTATATAACTTATGTAATTTTCTTGCATCAAACTCAGTAAACTTAGATACGAAAATCCACAGGTTTCTAGAAGAAAAAAAAGGCAAATTAGTCTGTTGAAAAATATTTAGCTTTTTCATAATCCCCGAAACACCCAAACACACATACTTTGCCCTTTACGTAATAAAGCCTAAGGAGATTATTTCTAGTGTTTTTTAAAACTTCATATATGGATAAAACTCTAAATGAACCTAAACATTAAGTTTGATTTCTCTTCCAAATCCCTTCATTTTATAATTTTTGGAATGAAAAGTACTAATCAATCCTAATTTGAAACCAGAGATGCAAATTTACAAATCAGGAAAGGACTCATAATGTGATTCAGATTACTTATAAAAGGAACAAGCTATGTTCCTAGTCTGAACAATTATACCATCAGATAATATCACTTGTGAAAAAAGGGCCCTAAGTAATACTTTAGAAGACAACTGTCATTTTATAATTGATTGTAATGTAATGGTCATGAGAATAACATGACCGGACACTACATACTATGGACAACATGGAGTCTTTAGACCTCTCTTGCCATCCCAAGGCAAGAATTAGTAACTGATCATAGTATTTCATAATAAATTCAGATGCAGCCTACTAATACTTCTTAACACAGCTTCCTAAACAGTCATTCATAATCAGTGACACTTGAGTCTATCTGCTACCACTGAAATAGTAATGGTTTTACATATTCACAATTTTTTTCTTAAATATTTTTCAGTAGGTATTATAAAGTATGACTTGAAACTTGCTTATATAAACAGGGTAAAGAAATTACTAATTAGTCAATGATAGAGTTTTGCATATTAGCCAACATCAACATCTTTAATGAGTCATGCAATCAATTTTAAGAAAAAAAACATATATATAAAATCCTCTGTATGAATAATGACTTCCCAAAAGAAAGCCATCTTCCAATGACACTGGTTGAAGGAAGATGGTCGTAGAAAGCAAAAATTCTTAGCTGGAAAATAACTTTTCATTCTATCTTATGAGAGAAAGTATGTGAAAGCACTTAACTTGGGGATTTATAAATGGCTGACACATTTTTCAAATATCAAGCACTTATTGCTTATCACTACAAAGCAGACATTAAGTTATAAAGCCTTGCATGGGATACTATTGGTAACAGGTATATTAAACTGTTCTTATATTTTCAAAGCTCTTTCCTATTATTTAATTCCACAAATAACCTTTAAATAGGCATAATAAAAATAGTAGCCAATTTTAAAAATAAACAAGCAAATTAGGTAATGAGGCTAAGTGACTCATATAGCTAAGTAAGGCTAGAAGACAGGGCTCCTAATTTGCTTTCCACTAAAATAAGTAATTCTCAGCCTTGTGATTTTGGGCATTGATATGTAAGAATAGCTGCTGGCTAGTAAACTACTAAGAAATTGCTATGTGTTAGTAAATTTTGGAATATATAAGTCTGTGAGTTATAAATTAACTGCAGAATTATCCCAGCACATGTGCATAAAGAGATGGGTGTCTGGTGATTTTTCTAGATGAATTCTTATCAGTGTTAAGTCAACTGTGGCTTTCTGTGTTTTATTAAATAACCATTAAATTTTATTAAGTTACTATTAAATTTTATTGAATTACCATTAGTATTATCAATTTAGTTTGTGAAGGTTGTTTGCTTAACTGCAACATATAACGATACTTATTTTTCATCAATATTTTGGCCTATAATTTTACAAAAATAAGACTGTAAAAACGCATTGCAATTTAAAGAGCCGTCACTATGTCTTCATAGTTAATGGGCACACATATACCTAATACTCTCAAAATCTGCTCCTATAGTGAGCGATATCTTATAGCCTATAAAATCGGGGTATTGAAATAAATTGCAGCATATTAAGGTATCAAGACTAACATTATCAGGCTATTTTAAACTAATGGGACACTTTCAAACTACATATGCATAAATTATTTTGTCTCTTAATTTTTTTCAACCTCATGAAAATTTTCAAACATACATCAAAGATGAAAGAATTTTACAACGATCACCCACATACTTACTACCTATATTCTATTATTAATATTTTACTATGCTTGATCTATGATGTATCATTTCAAATACACCCATCTCTCCGTCAATCATTTTAATTTTTGTTTGCATTTCAAAGACAAATAGAGGTGTTGGTATTTCTCACCCTAAATACTTCAGTATGCATAACATTAACTAGTGAATACCTGCTTATTTTCTTTTAAAAATAAAATGTACACAGAATAAGATGCACAATTTTTTAAGTTTACACTTGCTGAGTTTTACAAATTAATATACTTTATAACCCCTAAACATATTTAAAAAGTTCTGTTTTGCCTTTTCAAAATGCCTAAGTTCTTTTACCAACAGAGAGTTTTAATAGACAATGGGGTAGGTCAGAAATGGTCCAAAAATTGAGAAGCATTCCCTAGACCAGTGGTCGGCAAACTGCAGCTCGCGAGCCACATGTGGCTCTTTGGCCCCTTGAATGTGGCTCTTCCACAAAATACCACGTGCGGGCGCGCATGTACAGTGCGATTGAAACTTCGTGGCCCAGGCGCAGAAGTCGGTATTTTGTGGAAGAGCCACACTCAAGGGGCCAAAGAGCCGCAGTTTGCCAACCACTGCCCTAGACCTGTGGTCGCCAACCGGTGGAGGTCTGAAAGGTTGGCGATCGCTGCCTAGACTACATTTCCCCATGTAATCGATTATCAGCTCCTGGCTACTAGTCTCTTTTGCTTTAGAGATTTTCTTTCCCTGCCCCCATTTGTGTTTATAAACTAAATCTGAAATACCTTTGAAGGTCAAGACAAACATGAAGAAGTCAGTCTCCTGGCTACTAGTCTCTTTTGCTTTAGAGATTTTTTCTCCCTCTCTACAACCTCAAAAATCTGAACTCTAATTATAAGGTTTCAAAATATAGCACACTGAAATATTTTCAGATGGAAACCAAGCTCCTTTACACTAAAAAGTAGGAAAGATGTTTAATATAATCCTTTAAATTAACGAAATTTAGCTGTAAGAATAATTCACTCCATTTCCTTTATTTTCCCAATTTTACAACAGCTAAGTGACAATCAAGAACATGTTTGAGAGCCAACGACAGAGAAAATTTAACTTTGGATCTTCAATGTAAAAAGATAGATTCCCATGAAAGCCTAAAATATATAATTTAACTTGACTGTATTCTTGATCTATGGCTCTGAGCTTGGGAATCGTCAGATGAATTGAAAAGGATGAAATAATTGTTTTATGGTATTTGAAGAAAGAGTTAATGCTCCAGTCAGTATATATAGTTCAACCAAAAATAAAAGATTAAGCTAGAATATATGAACATAGCACTTTAGAATTATTGTCTCCCATTCCTCATTTTATTATCTATGCTAATAAACGAGAAAGATGCAAATTGACTGTACCTTCACAATGACCACCAGCCAATCAGGAGTATGCAAATTAACCCAACAAAGATGGCAGGTTAATTTGCATATGCAGGCACCGAGCGACCGGGGGCCTTCCGTGACATCCCAGCCGCTCCGGGCGTCTGTGCAGCATGGGAAGGCGGAAAGGCAGCTCCGGGCTGGAGTGAAGGCAGTGCCGGCAGCCAGGGGAAGGAAGGCCCATTCTTGCACGAATCTTTGTGCATTGGGCCTCCAGTTATTCAATAAGTGGAAAATATGTAATGCCTTACAATTTATAAAGAGCTTCATACCTGGCCAGTATGGCTATGAGGTTGCGGTTCAATTCCCAGTCAGGGTACATGCCTGGGTTGCAGGCTCAATCTGCAGTAGCGGCCATGCAGGAGGCAGCCGATTGATGATTCTTCCTCATCATTGATGTTTCTATCTCTCCCTCTCTGAAGTCAATACAAATATATTTTTAAAAAAGAGCTTCAAATACAGCGCTGGCCAGCTCTGCTTAGTGGTTAACAGCGTCGGCCCACGGTCTGAAGGGTCAGGTTTGATTCAGGACAAGGGAACATACCTTGGTTGCAGGTTCCCCAATTCTGGTAGGGGTGCCTGTGGAAGGCAACCAATCGATCTATGTGTGTCTCTCACCCCCCCCCCTCGTCTCTCCTTCCCACTTTCCCTAGAAATCAATGGGAAAAATATCCTAGGGTGAGGATTTAAAAAAAAGCTTCAAATACAGATGTTATCATTTCACCAGTGATAATATAATACCTGGGGGCTCTGAAATATTGTTCAAGGTCATAAAGCCCCAAATTAGCCAAGATGGGGACTGAGCAGATGTTCTGCTGCCAACTCTAGTGACTACTCCATGGCATTACAGGCACAACTTAAGGATATTATTATTGCCCATACATGGCTTTAGTTTCTTTAGACATGACAGCAAAATTTACATGATCGATTTCCTATCTCCTCTCCCTAAAATGGGTCCTGGTTGAATTTAAGGATAAAAGGAACAAGTGTAGATTTTTTTTTTTATTTTAGCGTAATCACAATCACTCCTCCAGAAATATATTACCGTTTTTTTTTTTTTGTTTTGATGTATAGCTGTATTGCTATCAGGGACTTGTTTGTATTTATTTTATGTTTTTCCCAAGTTGTTAGTAGTTTGATTTAACACTGATCTGGATCTGGTAATCATTACGTGATTTGTATAATAATATAGCAGTTCAGTTTTACAATTTTAAGATCAACTGTGTTGCTACTGCTTCTAAAATAAAGGAGGATTCTCCGTTTTACATTGCTTGAGGATATTAATTTTTACAAGGTGTTATACTCATACCCGAAGACAAATTGCTAAGTATACTTAAATAATAATAAATTTGTTTGGCACACCAATTTCTAAAGATACTACTGAGAATAATCTAGTGAATTGTGAAGATTTTTAAGAAATACCAAGTATGATTATCATGATGCATAATTAATTGATCACTCACGAATAAAAAAGCTTTAAAGGGAAAATAGTAAAAATAATCATCCTCAAGTTACCTCTCTAAACATTAGTTACTAAATTTCAAAAATAGAAAAATAAATTGAAATATAAGAGACAGATTATTACACACCCACAAATATAACACTTCCTAAAAAGTACATTACTTACTTTCTCCACTGCTTGATTTGTTCAGGATTTGTATATTCTTTCAGACATTCCGTGATATGGTCACCAATTTTTATTAAACACTGTCTAGTATGCTCTAGTTGTTCTCTTTCTGAAAGGCCTTTCTCAGGCCTATCAAGTTGTTTCAAAGCTGCTTTGACAGGCCTCATTCTTTCTTTACACTTTTAAAGTGGAAAATAAAAACACAAATACATGTATTAAACATAAATTCAACAAAGATCTTCTTTCAATATTAACATGAGTAAATATAGCACTGTTTAATGCTAAAGTAACCATTAAATATCACCTCACAGCTCTTAAATGCCAGGGATTTCCCCCTCAGATTCTTTGGAAAGCAAGGCTTTCATTATCAGTCTTTGTGTGAGTAATAACTTTGTATTTTACTTATCTTTTGTAAAAATGGTACTTTTTACACTGGAGCAAACCATTCTAAGCAGGCTTAAACACGGAATGATGAAAAGCATGGTAGCATATAAAACCAATGTATTTTAGACCAGTGTTACTCCAAGTGTAGTCTATGAACCTGCACTTGGTTCCAGGGGATAGGCACAGAAATTTTAGAAACCTTTATACCAGTGGTTCTCAACCTTCTGGCCCTTTAAATACAGTTCCTCATGTTGTGACCCAACCATAAAATTATTTTCGTTGCTACTTCATAACTGTAATGTTGCTACTGTTATGAATCGCAATGTAAATATCTGATATGCAGGATGGTCTTAGGCGACCCCTGTGAAAGGGTCGTTCGACCGCCAAAGGGGTCGCGACCCACAGATTGAGAACCGCTTCTTTATATCAATTTGACAGGGCAATTTTTGCCTACTGAACCTAGTAATAAAACATTAGGGGTTGTATTTTGTATATTTTTTTAAATGTTCACTTTTTGTTTTTATTATACTTCCTAAAATACTAAAAAAGAAGCTACTCCTTCACTATAGATAAGAAGCAGTATCATATGGTTACAGGTTCAGAAATTAAATGGTTTAAATTCTACAAATTCTATCCTTGGAGAAAAGAAGTTCATTCTAAGTAGTCCTTAAATGCCTCTCCTTCGAGTTCTTCATTTATTAAAGTTCTTCCAAATTGAATCTAAATTTAAATTACCTTTCAAATATATTGTTTTTACAAGCTGAGTTGCAGTAGCAACAAATTCAAAGACATTTTTAAATTAAAAGCAGCAAAGAATAAAACTGCAATTTAAATGTTATATGGATTATTACTAATAACAGCCTACTAGAGCAGTCACCAACCTTTTGGACCTCACAGACCACTAGTGGTCCGAGGACCACCATTTGGTGACTGCTGGTATACTACTTACAATGCTGAATGTCTTCTGATCCAGTTCTTCGGATTCTTCAGATATGGGAACTGGTTCACCACTTGCAGTAATATGAACTAGAGGATCAGACACTGAAGATTTCTTGGATCTTTCCTTGCTATCAGATTTTGATTCGCTCAACTAAAGAAAAAGCAAAAATAAAAACCCAACAACAAAGGTAAAATGATGAACACTTCCAAAAACAACTGTTTATTCACTTTTAATATCCCTATCTATTTTATCTTTCCCCAATTTTATTTGGAGAAAACAAAAATAAATAAATAAATAAGGTTACTCTATAATGTTACCCTATAGGTCAGGAATTTTAAAAAGGATTCAAACCTATTTTTCTCTTCTACAAGATATCCACATGAATTGAACTTGGTTATTGAGACTAACGTAGGCTGATAGGCAATTTATGCTCCTAAAATATAAATAAGCTGATTGTGTAACTTTCTAAATTTTACATTATGATTTGCATACCTTTTCTTCCTTTATGTCTTTTTCTTTCTGCATAGCTTCTATAGCTTCTTTTACTTTCTTTTCTCTCTTTTCTTTAAAATCTTTTTGCTTTATATCTTTCTTATTCTCTTTTTCTTCTATCTCCCTTTTAAGTTCTCTTTTATTTTCCTTTTCTTTTGATTCCCTCTTTTCTTCTGGTTCCTTCTTTATAAAAACATCTGGCTCAGGTTTTTCTTCACTGTCTCTTTCTGTTTTAATTTTTTTATTTGGATGTTTCAAAGAAGTGACCTTATCCTAGAAAGTGCAAGTATGGCCAATGTATTACTAACCAAATCTTGACAAAGATTAAATTTCTTTTCTTTGCATGACTAGGATTGCATGTATGCAGATTCTGAAAAATAATCCAGAATCCTATTAATAATGACACATGCGCCGAAACCGGTTTGGCTCAGTGGATAGAGCGTCGGCCTGCGGACTCAAAGGTCCCAGGTTCGATTCCGGTCAAGGGCATGTACCTGGGTTGCGGGCACATCCCCAGTAGGAGATGTGCAGGAGGCGGCTGATCGATGTTTCTCTCTCATCGATGTTTCTAACTCTCTATCTCTCTCCCTTCCTCTCTGTAAAAAATCAATAAAATATATTTAAAAAAAAAAAAAATAATGACACATGCAATATTTACCTTCCTATAAAAACTAATGTAAGCCAGTCCCATTCAAAATTCATAACAAAATTAAAGGAGACAGAACCTCACTCAAATAGTAATGTTTGAAAAGGAAGGACCTTTGCTCTATCTCTCTAATGATATATGATATTCTACTGGATGGGTGAAATACTGTTCTGTAAATGAGACTGCATAATAAGCTATTTTTTAAAGAAAATTTCAGCACTAAAAAATAAAATTTCAGGTCTTAGTTCAAATTTTAAATGTAAAACATACCATGTTCCTTTCTATTTAACGGTTGCATGTTTAAATGTAAAACATGCCATGTTCCTTTCTATTTAACGGTTGCTTTTCTAAAACACATTCTTACCTTATCATCTTCATCGGATTTTTCTGAGAGCAGAGGAGAAGAATCACTCTTTACTTCCTCTTTCACCTTTATAGACTTCATGGATTTATTCTTCTTAGCTCTTGCTTTTCTCCTCTTTGAACCTCCCTAAAAATAATTATTTTTATTCTAACCAATTCCACAGATTCAGTATTTAAAAAAAGCTTCTTAAATACTGAATCAAAAAGGTTTAAGAAACGAATAGTTTTACTCAATCTTTAGCCTGTTGGTAAAAAGCTATACACCAAGCTTAGAAAGTCAACAAACGTCATATAACTTAATAAAAATGAAGTAGAGAGAAACAGAAGGAGGGTTTTTCCCATCCTAAGTTATTATCTTCAACTAAATTCAATGCTACCAGAGTAGCATTAGAAATTATTTTTAATGGTACGTATGTAATTATAACATTGTGGTCATAAGTAATTTTTAAAGATTTCTATAGTTCCAATCACCTCTTCTAGTGTCTTCTTCCTACTTTTTTGGAGGCCCTCATAAATAAGCTCAGTGATCTTTAATGCTACTCCTTAAGCTTTCCAATGTCTCCAAATAACACAGTAATGGAGGCCTAACCTTTCAAAAAGAACTCCATTCTAAACAAGTTGCCCCCACTCCCTCTCTAAATACTAAAGAAAAAATGTGATTTCACTTCTGAAAGGCATGACTCATTAGTGTTAACATGAATGCTGAGATAATTTAAGGCAAAATATTACCATATTCAAGTGACACTACTAAATTATGGGAAAATATACTTGTAAGTTCATATTAACCACAGATGTCTGTCTAGGGCAGCGGTTTTCAGCCGGTGTACAGTGGCATACTGGTGTGCTGCAAGAGACACACTGGTATGCTACAAGAATTTTTAAAATATGCAATACTGGACTATGTAGTCATGGGCACTTAACTCTTTTTCCTTAGATTGTCAGATATAAAAATGACAACAGCCAGCACAACAATAGCTGTCTGGTGTGAATGAATAAAAATTATACCTAATTTTTTGTCAGATCAGCACAAAGTATATTTTTTAGCAATCCTATATAATAAAAGGCTAATGTGCAAATAGAACGGTGGAACAACCAGAACAACCGTTCACTATGATGTGTGCTGACCACCAGGGAGTGTGCATGGAACATGGCAGGTGTCAGCCGATGGGATGGTGGAGCAGGTGAGTGGCAGTGCCAGACCAAAGCAGGGCACTGGTCGCTGACATCAGGGCGAACCTCGGGTGGTTACTGAAAATTCTTTGCTCCCATGCGCCACAGTCCCACCCGGTTCTTGCACCTGCTGCCAGTACCAGAGCTGCCACTCACACCCACTGCCGGCCCCAATCGCCCCTCAGGGCTTCTCCACCTCCCCCTGCTCCTGAGGGGAGATCGGGGCCGGCAGCCGCCTCTCAAATCCGCTGCCAGCAATGGCCCCACTCGCACCCGATGCCAGTGCTGGAGCTGTCGCTCACACCCACTGCCAGCGCCAGCGCCAACCCCACTCACACCGACTGCTGGCCCTGATCACCCGAGGGCTTCTCTACTTCCCCCTGCTCCTGAGGGGCAATCAGGGCAGCAGCTACCGCTCACACCTGCTGATGGCACCGGCCCCACTTGCACCCACTGCTGGCGCCAGCTCCAATTGCTCCGTGCCTTCAGAGGGTGCAAGTGGGGCTGGCACTGTCTGCGTGTGGGAGTGGCAGGAGCAGGGCTGCTGGGAGACAGGGGACTGAGGGCCGCAGTGAGAGGGGCCCGGCGGGAGCATGGAGGATGGGCCGACACCCACCCCTGTGCCTATCATAGCCTATCATAGCCTCACGGCCCACAGTTCCTTTCAAGGTGCACGAATTTGTGCACTGGGCCCCTAGTTAGTTTATGTTTGTTATGAGATGAAAAGGGTTGAAAATTGCTAGTCTAAGGCAACCAGTAAGCTAGACTTGTCTTAAAAGTAAACTGCTCTTTAGCATCTGAATTTTAACTTACTGCACCAGAAAGTCTTTGAGCTTCTTTTTTGGCAAGATCTCTACTAAGTAATTTGATGAGGTAGTCTGCCCGAGTCTGCAACTGTTTTGCTTGTGGTTTTTTATCAGGGTCATCTGGAAGAATCTGAAAAGCAATTAATTTTTTCAGTTTGCTTCTAATAAGATGAAAAAATTTAAAGCTAAAAAGTGCTTATTCATTTTTTTAAATATATACAATTCACTAACAAATTATAATTCTTTCAATATTTAGGAATAAACTTAGAATGAAAATACATTTTTTAATATCTATAACACACTAAAGATTAGTTTCCCTGGGAAAGAATTTTAAATAAATACACAATGGGAGAAAAAAATCCCTCTTCAAAATGAGAATACACAGTGTGAGGTTAAAAAATTCTTTCAAATATACAATAGTGTATTTAGCATCCAGTGTTATTAAACACTAGAGGCCTGGTGCACGAAAATTTGTGCACTGGGTGGGGGGGTTGTCCCCCTCAAACTGGCCTGCTCCCTCTCACAGTCTGGGAGCCCTCAGGGGATGTCCCCTGTGGGAGACAACCGGCCGATCAGGGGAAGGCGACACACCCATCACACCTCTGCTGCAGCCACTGCCAGCTGCCGGGGCTGCCTGAGCCTTGGGCCGGCCCTGGCAGCGGCAGCCGCCATCCGCGGCTTGCCTAAGCCTCAGGCAGCTGCTGCGGCTTTGTCCGGAACACGTCTGCCCTAATTAGCATATTACCCTTTTATTAGTATAGATTATGGTATTCTTAGATTTCCTTCCTTTCTCATTATAATATATGATCTATAAAGTACACAAAACTTCCTAGAATACAAGGTATCATCTATCCAGAAGATGACCCACAACAGGCACTGTGAGGAAACTTTTACAGTAGGACTCTAGTTTTGCTTCAAAGCAGCAAATGACAAATTTCTAGTATTTCAAGATTCCCATTTGTCTGAAGAGGTAAAATATAAAAAGGGAACTTAAGTGATAAGAATAAGGCAATGCTTTCAGTGGTTTCCATTCTAAGCAAAGAAACGATTTCATTAATGTGGTAATATCAAATCATCAAAAATTCTAAACATGGTTTGACAATACAAAAATATAAAAGATTTCAGAATCTTTTTTTGCCCATGAATAATCTAGTTAATCATGGAATGAAAGATTTACTTTTAACCTAAAGAAAAATGTCCTAACAAAAATATAATTTTAGAGGTAAAGCAAAATCTTGGAGAATATTTAAATTCATGAAATCCCTTCATGAAAACCAGATTTCAAAGAAGCCAAGGTCACACAACTATCTAGAGCAGTGGTTCTCAAACTTCTGGCTCTTTAAATACAGTTCCTCATGTTGTAACCCAACCATAAAATTATTTTCGTTGCTACTTCATAACTGTAATGTTGCTACTGTTATGAATCGTAATGTAAATATCTGATATGCAGGATGGTCTTAGGCCACCCCTGTGAAAGGGTTGTTCGACTGCCAAAGGGGTCGAGACCCACAGGTTGAGAACCGCTGATCTAGAGCCTTTTTTTCCTGACACCTAGTTGAGTTTATTTCTAACATAATTTAAAACATTTTTTTTGTATTTTTTGAGAGAGGAAGAGAGAGGGAGAGAGCGATAGAAACATCAATGATGAGGAACATCAATGATCGAGCCTGCAACCCAGGCATGTGCCCTGACCAGGAATCGAACCATGACCTTCGGGCTCATAGGTCAATGTTCAATCATTAAGCCACACCAACCGGGTTCTAACATAATTTAAAAGCAAAATTAAATTCAACATCAGAATCAAGAAATATTTAAGTACCTTGTGTGTTAGACTGAGGTCAGGATCCATTTTGATCATTTCCCAGCTTCCATATCCATATTCATATATGCCAATTAACAAATTGGAATCATCTTCTTTGCCCCAGTCTATATCAAAATGAGCAGCCTTTGTATGGCATGGGATAGTATACCTAGCATTCAAGTTAATAACCAATGTCAAGTTTACAATTGCCTTATTAAAAATTAATTTTAAAAACATGTTAAGAACATATCTGAATCATTCAAAATTTAATTTTATGTTCAAAAACATTTCAGTCAAACGAGCCAATGACATAAAAAACATTTTAACTTACATTCATATCCAAATTATTGCGTAACAAGAAATACTTTACAATGGAAAAAGTAAGGAACTCACTGCTTTCTTTCTTCTGGATCTGAAGGAATGGATTTGTGCAATGGTATTAATTCTTCTTCATGGGAGATGACTAGCTTGGCATTCACTTGTACTCCTGATATTCGGAATGTTGGACCCTTTACTTTTCCAAGTCTACCACCTTAATTTTTTTAAGAAAGAGTAAAAGAAGTATAAAATATATAACTACAAAATAAAAAAGCAATGTATGCTATTATTTATTTTAATAAGTATTACTTACATTTACTTATTAGTATTATTTATGTTTTGGGGGGGACTTGCTGGCAAACCTTAAATTTCACTACAAGATTTCTTAGTACATATTAGTGACTGTAATATAGGAGATGTAGATTCATAAAAAGCATTTCATGTACTTAAGTGTTTTATCTACTGCAGAAGGTACATCAATCTACTGATATGATCAATAATTTCTCAATAAGATTTCCGGTATGATTTTTTTTTTCAGTACATCTGATTACTAAATCTTATCTAAATATTTTATTTAGTGGATGAATTGTAAAATAAGCATAATGAAGCTAAGTATGCCCCAAACCAATATTACATATGTATTCTTAAGATATCTTTTCAATCATGTATGCTAAAATTATAGTACAACTAACAGTAATTCCTGACATTACCTCCCAGTTAGACTATATCAGGCAGATAGATTGTATTGCCTTCAATAATAGAATTCTGCTCCCCATTTCCTGTTACCTAGCTTTGTTTTGTAAAGCATCTTTTAAGACTGATGAAAAGGTAACAAGATATAATACCTAACTCAATAAAAGCATATTTTAAAAGTTCCATTTACCTCTCTTTAAATCACTCTCATTTTAATATTACCTGTCCGTTCTGTTCCTGAAGAATTATCCTTTAAAGCTTTAATGCAACCATTATGCACCAATTCTCCTAGTCGTCTGAGGTCTGTCTCTGACTTATCAACTAATTCAGCATCTCGAGCTATTGCATCCAATCTGTAATAAAATAATACAATTTTCAAGTAAATACGCAGACTAAATTTCACTTCATCTCAAGTTCTACAAATCACACTATTTCATGCTCTACAAATTTTAGTTCATATAATTGGCATAAGATACATAAAAACCAAGAAGATGTGATGGGGAAACAATTCATCTATATATTCAAGGGTAATAATAAAGTAAACCAATTCATTACAGAACAAGTGGTATGCTTTAAATTTGAAGATTATGTAATAACTAGATTCGTGCTCTAGGGGGGTTGGGGGCGGGAATCCCTCAGCCTGGCCTGCACCCTCTCACAGTCCAGGGCTCTCACAGTCTGGGACCCCTCGCTCCTTACCGCCCGCCTGCAGCAGAGGCGGGAGAGGCTCCTGCCACCACCATTGCGCTCACCTGCTGTGAGCCCGGCTCAATGCTCCTTAATGCTGCCTCAGAGGTGGAAGAGGCTCCCGCCATTGCTGCTGGGCTCGCCAGCCATTAGCCCAGTTACTGGCTGAGGGGCACCCCCCCTGTGGGAGCGCACTGATCACCAGGGGGCAGCTCCTGCATTGAGCGTCTGCCCCCTGGTGGTCAGTACGTGTCATAGCTACCAGTTGTTCCACCATTCAGTCGATTTGCATATTATGCTTCTATTATATAGGATCCTACAAAACCTTTTTATAACTGACCAGATCTTAAATTCAAAAGAAGTGCTTACGGGTTGTAATAATCATAAATGAAAAAGACATTATAAGAGTAATGTTCTATAGTTTGTAATTACTATGCACTGAGTAGATATGATTATTAATGTTCAAAGTTTTTTCATCATATAAAATAATTATGCAAGTCTTTTATTGTATTGTATGCAAGTCATCTCAAGATAAAAAAGAAAATATATTTTAAGAAGGAGTTGTGTAGAGAAAAAATTTTAAACCAATTTGAGTCTTCGCCATTCTATATCCAGACAATGGGTTTACTATAGCAAAGAATAAAGAATATCCAAATCACAGACAATGACTAAAATTAACTGATAACAACAATAACAAAAAAACCTGTCTTGACAATTTGATTTTAATAGTTTGTGTAAGAGGAAGCTGTATTTAGGAAAACAAGAAAATTTCCCTAGTAAGGGAAAATAAAACAGGTCTTTAAGTCAGGTGGCTAGGTTAGCAACTCAGTGTTCCTAAGAATGAATCTGCTAGTTTATAAGTTTCTCATTTAAAAAATGATGAAGCCTTTGAAAGTACCTTAGAATTATAAAAATGAAAGGAATTTTCTAGAAAACTTCATTGGCAGGTAAAATTTTAGAGACTAGAAAAAATTAAGGATGGCAGTAAAATATTTTTCAAAACTATACTTGAATTTTACTTTCTACAGATTAACTTTGTAAATGTCTTTTAAAAGCAAGTTTAACAAAGTACCTAAACTGAGTATTAGTATAAACAAATAACCCTGACAAGAACATAAAACATACTATGATTCTATGAGAATAACAGATGTATTTACCTTTCTAGAGGGCCACCAAATTTCTTGTAACTCTTGATAAACCTAGCAGAAAATAATTGTTGATTTAAATGCAGGCTTCACTACCCATTGAACAATAGATAAATTTATAAATATATAGAAAAAAGAAAATACTTCTTAGAATACAAATTAATTCAAGGTAGTTACTGACAAAAATGAATAAACTATGCTAGAAACCAAAATGTTAAAACATTAAAACATACCAAGTAAGACAAGAAATTAACACCCAGGATGATGTTTAGAAACCAGTATAAATAAAACAATAGAAGCTAAATTTTATTTTAGAAATTACTTTATTTTTTTTCACAAGACAAAATAAGGTTCAAGGCTACCACAGGAAGTGTCTCCAGAATTATCAATCATATTGCACCTCCTAACATTCCAAGTGTTGATAAAATTTACTGAAAATAGCTTTAATTCAGATGTAGGGTATTATACCAACAATGGAAAATAAAAATTTTACTTAAGAACAAAGCTACCCAAGTGGTTGATGGATGAGGAAAAATATCCAGGAAAAGTTGAAATGCCTCTTCAACTAAAGACAGAAAGTCCAGCAAATCAGGTGGTCATAAAATACCCTTAATAAAATCTAATAACATATTTAATTTTCTGGTAGAAAGAATGAGGAAGAACTTTATCGGTCAGGTCTATGATGTAAAAGAAAAGAGTTACAATGGCTTGAAAGAAACAAACTCTCAAAATACAATAATGAACAACCCTTTTACAAATTTCATAAGCAAAATTATTACATAAACAAAAGTAAAGTTATCTTATTCCCCTTAAATATATCTGTATATACACATAAATGTATTTTGAAAGAAAACTACAATTTATTTTACTACCCATTCTTACCTCAATTCCTACTTGGACATAACAGAAATACCCTTAACATGGTTACTTTCAAAGAACAAATTACTTCAGAATTAAAAAACTAGAAAAATATGGAACTAAATTATCCCCACATAAAAATAGTAATGTTGGGAGTCAGAAGTGCAGTGAGAATTTTTATTAAATAAGTCTAATGTATTGAAATATACATTCATTATTCAAAAAGGCCACTGTTCTGAACCACATTAATAAAACCAAAAGAATGTAACAGTCTAAATATACTAACAATAAATAAATAATATGCAAAGATTAGATGCCAAACATTTTTTTTCTCATAGTTATAATTAATGAACACACAAAAGCAGAAACCCCACCCAATTCCTAAACAATTTTCATATATTTGCTTCCTCTAACACTTTCACCTTCATCTTTGAAATGTTGGGATTTCTGTATTTTAGTTTCACCCTCTAATAAAAATAAAATGAAGTAAAATGGTGTCACATCATCTTACCGCCGAATTTCTGCATCACTAAATCCTTTAATATTCTCTCGAGGGATAGTCCGTGGTCTTCCACGTTTCTTTGGCCTTTTCCTTTCTGAGATTGAATCACTATCAGATCCAGAATATCTCCTGCTTCTACTGCGCCTCCCTTCACTTCCATTGAAACTAATCTGGAATTTGAAAACAAAAATTTACCCAAACTTACGGCAAAGAAAATTGTACAAGACTGACAGAATTTTGTAACTTCAAATGTTTTTCTATAAATCAAAAATATTCTATAAAAAAACTTTTAAAAAGCAAACAGAAAAATACAGCATGTTAATGACAGTTATTAATAACTTTAATATGTAACGCATTCTGATAAATCTAAAGGAAAACACCCACTGTCCTTTTGTAAAAATGAGAAAAGTTATTACCAAGCAATTAATCAAATAATATAAGCATAAAATCATACAAACTCATTGGTAACACTTTTTAAAAATGAGAATTAACAATAAAATGAAATTCTTTTATCAATCCATCAATTTGACCAATACCAACTAAGCAATAATAGCTAATATTAGTATAATGGGATAGAAAAATGAACAGTAATATACTTCTTCTGGGTATTTAAATTGGGACAGAAGGCAATTTAGCAATATTGTATTACAAGCCTTGAAAATTATCATTCTGCTGACCCAGCAACATCATTCCCAGGCATATTTCCTGAGATCAGAAATGTGAGGAAACACTGGCCAATAAAGTCATTTACAGCATAGATTTCTTTTTTTAATAGCAAACAATCTAAATGTTCATCAAAGAGACTGGACAAGTAACCTATACAAGTTTAAGAAAGCCATCAAAAATTGTGTTATAGCTCTGGCTGGGTGGCTCAGTTTTCTCAAGTGAGGATTAAAAACAAAATTGTGTTGTAGAATAACATTCTTTATATACTGTCAAAGGAAAGAAAGCAACTTCCAAATTAATACTCCAATTAAATTTGGCAGATATATATAAAAAATATTAGAATTATGTATACCATAATATTATATTATTAGTGATTACCTTTGGGTGGACAGATTATGTGTCATTTTTATCTGTTCTCCTAAGTATCCACTTATTAGTATTCTAATTAGGTTGATCAGATACTTTAAAGAAAAAAAATGCCAGTTGAACCCACATAAAAATAGCTAAATATCCATTAGTTCTTTAACAAATATACCAAAGCATATTTTCGGTTAGTCTTGAGCATTTTTCCAAAGTCTCAGTATATATTTTGAATAGCTTTAATATGCTAAAAGCTTACTGAAAGTTAAGAATGGGCATTTAGTTTTTACTGTTCTAACCTCCTTTCATAAGATCTAATATAATGCTATGCTTCCCATCCACTGTAAAAGGAAACCATTATAGGGTTTGAAGAACTAAACACAAACAAGAAACTACAAACATGGTCACTTTCAGGCCAAACACATTACTTGGCTCCATATCTGCGTGGGATGTATAAAGTTGGTAGGTTGCTCCTACCATAACAACAAAAATCATAATCTCTAAAATCTAATTTAAAAAATCATCACTTTTCTTAAACACATAAAAATCACAAGGCAACCTAACAGTCTCAAATATAAGGAAATATAGCAGCTTGTAAGAAGAGATGGGGCTCAAATACTGGCTCACTTGGGAAGAACGTGAATGGTAGACATCAAGTACTATAAAGGCAGGTAAGAGGAAGTTAAAAATTTACTAAAGGCTGAATGTGGGCTGCCTTGAGAGCATAGAATCCCTGGGAACCAAAGACAAAAGGAGGACCTGTACCCACTCTCAAGCCCTTTTCCATAAACCTATACCTCATGCTCATGAGGGAAATTGGAGAAAACTTGATTTTGTGGTGCAGCCATGAAGAAAGGGAGCAGTCACCTTTCAGAATATAGGCAGGAAATACAGATCCATCTCAGCTACTGAACTGAGTGTACAGGAAAAGGCCTAATATAGTTGTAGGAAAAGAAAACAAAAAACCCTACCTTGCAAGAAGAGTAGCAGGACAAGGACTAGGGTGAGGCAAGTCTCTCATTTGCCTCAAAACTTAAGGAGGCACCAAAAAAACTCAGTAATAAAGACAACTATATTATAATGCAATAGCCTAAAAATCAAAAGTTAATGCAAAAAAATCTATATTAAGGTTTTTTCCTTTTGCAGCAGGATTCAAAATAGTTTAGTATGGCACTGTTACCATTATCTAAAAACCTATCTATTTTCTTCGTTTAGGCCACAAAATAATCAACAATTTTTTAAAACGTCAAACCATACAGGGAATGCTCTTTGGCCATGACAGAATTAAACTAGAAATTATTAACAAAAGATACTTGGAAAATTTCCCAAATATTTAGAAGTTAAACAACATACTTCTAAAAAAGAAACCAATGGGTTAAAGAGGAAGCCACAAGGGGAAAAAAATATTTTGAATAAATGAAAACACACCAGATATCAAAATTTAGAGATTCAGAAAAGCAGTACTTAGGGGAAACTTGTAGCATTAAAAGCTAATTTTAGGAAAGGAAAGTCTTGATGCAATGGTCTAAGCTTACATCTTAAGACAGAAAAAAAGAGCAAATTAAAGCAAAAAAAAAAAAAGGATACATAATAAAGAGCAGAAATCAATAAAATTTAAAACAGAAAATCAATATACCAAAAGGTAGTCCTTTGAAAAGATAAATAAAATAAACCTCTAATTAGAATGATCATAAAAAAATTTAGCAGTATTAAGAAGAGAGGGGAATCAGTAAATATCTTGTAGACACTAGAAGGATAACAAAGGATATTAAGAATAACTTTATGCCCATAAATTCAGCAAACTGGATAAAATGGACCAATCTCTTGAAAGAAACACACTACCAAATTCACTTAAGAAAAAGATATTCTGAATTCATATTTAGAAAAGAAACTGAAGTTAGTTTAAAATTCTTCTAACAAATGCCCTAACTGGTTTGGCTCAGTGGATAGAGCGTCAGCCTGCAGACTGAAGGGTCCCAGGTTTGATTCCGGTCAAGGCCATGTACCCTGGTTGCGGGCACATCCCCAGTAGGGGGTGTGCAGGAGGCAGCTGATTGATGTTTCTCTCGCATCAATGTTTCAAACTCTCTATCCCTTTCCCTTCCTCTCTGTAAAAAAACCAATGAAATATATTAAGAAAAGAAAAATCTTCTAACAAAGAAAACTCCAGGCCTAGTTTCCCTGAAAAATACTACCAAACATTTAAATAAGAAATATTAACAATTTACACAACTCTTTCCAAAAATAGCAGAGGAGGGAACACTCTTCAACTTAGTTTATGAAGCAAGCATTATCAAATCAGATGAAGACATTACATGAAACTATAGACCAATATCTCTCATTAACAGAAAAAAGATCAATACAGGTGCGAATATTCTTTCATTATAAAAACTAGAGGCCCAGTGCACAAAAATTTGTGCACTCGGAGGGGGGGGTCCCTCAGCCCGGCCTGTGCCCTCTTGCAGTCTGGGACCCCTTGGGGGATGACCACCTGCTGGCTTAGGCCTGCTCCCTGGGGGATTGGGCCTAAGCTGGCAATCAGACATCCCTCTGGCAGCCTGGCAGCCCTCGGGAGATGTCCACTTGCCAGTGGGGAGCAGACCTAAGCTGCAGTCGGACATCCTTAGCACTGCTGAGGAGGCAGGAGAGGCTCCCACCACCACCGCTGTACTGGCAGCCATCAGCCTGGCTTGTGGCTGAGCAGAGCTCCCCCATGTGGGAGCGCACTGACCACCAGAGGGCAGCTCCTGCATTGAGCGTCTGCCCCCTGGTGGTCAGTGTGTGTCATAGTGACCAGTCATTCCCAGTCTTTCTGCTATTAGGGTCAGTTTGCATATTACTCTTTTATTATATAGGATATCTTTAAAATTAAAAAGTCACCTGCTTAGCACAGTTTCTCATTCTTGGAAGCATATAAATTTCTTCAAGTTCTTTTTGTCGTTCTTCCTCTTCTAATCGTCTTCTTTGATCTTCTGGAATGATTTCTTCCCAATTCTTTGAACTTCGTTCAGGTTCCAACTCAATGTCATCCTCATCCATGTTTGAAAAGTTGGCAACCTAATGAATTCCAGAATATTAACAGAGTAAGCATTAAAAAACAACTCACATTCAAATTTTATTTTTCATGTTTTGGGGGAAGGAAGTGGCATATCAGAATAAGATAATAAAACTTAAAGCAGTGGTTCTCAACCTTCTGGCCCTTTAAATACAGTTCCTCATGTTGTGACCCAACCATAAAATTATTTTCGTTGCTACTTCATAACTGTAATGTTGCTACTGTTATGAATCGTAATGTAAATATCTGATATGCAGGATGGTCTTAGGCGACCCCTGTGAAAGGGTCCTTCGACCACCAAAGGGGTCGCGACCCACAGGTTGAGAACTGCTGACTTAAAGGATAATGAATATGACTATGGAGTAAACCAAGTATGAATGCTGAATGCTAAACTAAGTTTATTTCTTTATTAGGTCAAAGTAGATCAAACCAAATGACTTCTAAGAATTCTTTTTCAGGAATGATTCTCTTTTGTCCTGCTATTCAATAAAATTATTACAACAGAACTAGAGAAGGTTAAGAGAATAATAAAGTAATTTATATTACCAACATGCTAATTAACTTCTGCAGGAATTACCACACCAGTCCATTAACTACCAACTGCTATAGAACAATCCAATATTCTTATTTTTATTTTCATAAAAATAGTACCTAAAGAGCTACTGACAAGCTACAGGAGCCCTGAGGCACTAAATTTATTTAGGTTCCCGATCCCCTAGTTTTTCTTATCTCTAAAACAAAAGTGATAGTAACAGCACACTAACTTTTGTGAGGTTTAAACAAGATACTATATTTAAAGAACTGTGCTGTCTGGTATAAGACAGTACTCATTAAAGCTAATTGCCAATATTAGTAACATTAAAATTTATAGATAACTGGATGAAGAAAACTATGCTTATCCTCTATAAGGAATGGGGCGAAAAACAGTGTTTATTCTCTCATGTCTATTATTTAAAGCCAGCTTTGTGTGAATATCAAATCACTGGCATAAAAATATCAGTCTCATATAAATCTATACTCTAGTTAATTTATTGGCAACTTTTTACGATTTTTAAATTAGTGAAAATAAAAAAGCAAATAGTATACCTTTATGTAAAGAAAGAGTTAATTAGACTGTAGCCAGAGTCAGTGCAAGTTTCAAAAACATTCACTTCTCATAATTACTGAAATAATCTTCAAATTTATCTCCCTGCTTAATTCTTTCCCAATACAGTATTTCCTCTACCGTGCAGCAGAGTGATCAATTAATTACGAAAGTTTTTATTCACTGCTATGTCCCTGTCCATGGCACATAATGAACAAATGACAAATTGAACTGATCCTTAAAAACTTCAGTTCATAGACAATAGCTAGAATACAGAGGAACCTGCTTTTTTGTACTAAACTAGAGGCCTGGTAAACAAAATTCGTGCACTCGGGGGTGGGGGGGTGGTCCCTCAGCCCGGCCTGTGCCCTCTCGCAGTCCAGAAGCCTCAGGGGATGTTTGACTGACAGCTTAGAACATCCTTAGTGCTGCCGCAGAGGTGGGAGAGGCTCCTGCCACCGCCGCTGCTGCGCTCGCCAGCCATGAGCCCAGATCAGCCATGAGTCCTGCATTGAACGTCTGCCCCCTGGTGGTCAGTGTGTGTCATAGCGACTGGTTGTTCCACTGTTCAGTCAATTTGCATATAAGCCTTTTATTATATAGGATAATTGTTGCACAACTTACTTATTACACTACTAGAGGCCCAGTGCATGAATTTGTGCACCAGTGGGGTCCCTCAGCCTGGCCTGCGGGATCGGGCTGAAACTGGCTCTCCGACATGCCCCGAGGGGTCCCAGATTGCGAGAGGGCGCAGGCCAGGCCAAGGGACCCCACCAGTGCACGATCAGGGGCAGGAAGGGATGTGGGAGGTTGGCCAGCCGGAGAGGGACCAAAGGAGAGCTCCAGGGTGTGCCTGGCCCGTCTCGCTCAGTCCCGATCAGCCGGACCCCAGCAGCAAGCTAACTTATTGATTGGAGTGTCTGCCCCCTGGTGGTCAGTGCATGTCATAGCGACTGGTCGACTATCTGCACCCTGGTGGTGAATGCATGTCATAGCGATTGGTCAACTGTGCCCCCTGGTAGTCAGAACACGTCACAGCAAGCAGTTAAGCATCCTTAGCACATCATTAGCATATTATGTTTTGATTGGTTGAACGGAAGACTGGAGGACCGGACACTTAGCATATTAGGCTTTTATTATATAGGATGAGATCGGTTGACTTACATTCCTTTAGGACTCCTGGCAGCCTTTTAGCCCTCATCAAACCAAGAGTATTTATAAGTATTAATAGGAGCTTACAGCTTACTTTGACTGATTTGAAGTTTCTCAGTTGTGGTAATGCTTAAATTAACCTGATGTCTAAAACTGCTCAGTCATGGAAATGTAAGAAAGGGATCGCAGTCATTCTTTTACCAAAATATTTGAGTACATGCTATTGGTTGGGCACTGTTCTAGGTGCTAATTTAAGGAAATAATATCCCTCCCCACTCTACTAAATTTAACTGTTCATAAATGATTTGCTCCCTTTCAAATTAGTTTGATACTGGTTTGTCAAAATAAGGAAAATATAATTTTATGCACCCTGGCAAATTTTAAAACAAAAAATATTATGAAATAAAGTCTGTTTCTCTCAATTTATATAACTATAAAGAAAATGTACCTTGAACTGGGAAAGCAATTCATCTCCTACAGTTAAAGGGCCTGGTTCATTTTCATGAGTTTCAGCCCTCTTCAAGATTTCATCGATATCCATTTCCTATAATTAGAAAAAAATCTTTAAACATACTTAAACATATTTTAAAGTAAATGTACTTTATAGTTAAATAGTTAAATATAGTTTAAATAGATGACAGACTCTGAAGGTTTATTTTTTTTTTACCTGGGGCTCTTGTTCTTCTCCTTCAGGTTCCTTAAAAAGTTCCTCAGCACCAAATTTTAAAATGGCAGACAACTCTTCTTTATTGAAAGGAGTAGAACTAAAATCAGGAAAAGCAAATAAAAACACTTAACATTCAATTAAAAATTTAACATTTTTAAAGCACCTTTATTATTATTGACATAATCACCTTATAACAGCTATATAACATCTACACTAATAAAAGAGAAACATGCAAATTGGTGTCACTCCGCTACCCTTCCCATTGGCTAATCAGGGCAATATGCAAATTAACTGCCAGCCAAGATGGCGGCCGGCAGCCAGGCAGCTTGAAGCGAACATGAGGCTTGCTTGCTTCAGAGACAGAGGACTCCAACGTTCCCTGCCTGCCGCTGCCGGCCTCTGAGCTTGCAGTTTGAAACATTGTTACAAATATAGAAGCTAAACAAACTCCAGAAACCTGCTTTCAGCCAGCCGGGATCTCAGAGCTGGAGTTGAAACAGTGTTTCGATTATAGAACCCAAACAAACCAGATACCTGCTTTCAGCAGCCGAGGCCTAAGAGCTGGAGCCAAACTTCAGAGCTAAAGCTGGCCCAGAATAAAGAAAAAAAAAGAAAAAAAGGAGCGGTTGGGAGCTCCAATCACCCGCCAGCCTGAAAACGGCCCTCAGCCCCTCACCCAGACTGGCCAGGAACCCCAGTGGGGACCCCCACCCTGAAGGGTGTGTGACCAGCTGCAAACAGCCATCATCCCCTCATCCAGGCTGGCCAGGTACCCAAGCGGGACCCCAACCTGATCCAGGACACCCTTCAGAGCAAACCAGCCGGCCCCCACCCATGCACCAGGCCTCTATCCTATATAGTAAAAGGGTAATATGCCTCCCAGCACCAGGATCAGCGGAGCCGCGAGGCCTCCCGGCATCGGGATCAGCGTGACAGGGGGCAGTGCCCAAACCCCCTGATCGCCCTGCGGCTCTGTGTGTGACAGTGGGCGGGGCCACAACCTCCCTATCCGCCCTGCTCTGTTCGTGACAGGGGAAGGCACCCCAACCCCCTGATCAGCCCTGCTCTGTGCCTGATAGGGGGGAGCTCCCCAACCCCTGATGGGCCCTGCTCGGTGAGTGACAGGGTTCGGCGTCCCAACCCCCCCGCCCCCCACAGGCCCTGCTCTGTGTGTGACAGGGTAGAGCCATAACCTCCCCATCGGCCCTGCCCTGAGTGTGACAGTGGCGGTGCCCCAATCCCCCTGATTGGCCGTGCTCTGTGGGTGATAGAGGGCGGCGCCCCAACTGCCCCCCACGGGCCCTGCTCTGTGCATGACAGGGGGTGGCGCCGCAACCTCCCCATCGACCCTGCCTTGAGTGTGACAGGGGGCGGTGCCCCAACCCCCCAATCGGCCCTGCTCTGTGCATGACAGGGGGCGGCGCCCCAACTCCCCAATCATCCCTGCTCTGAGCTCGACCAGGGGCTGCACCTAGGGATTAGGCCTGCCCTCTGCCACCCGGGAGCAGGCCTAAGCCAGCAGGTCATTATCTCCCGAGGGGTCCCAGACTGTGAGAGGGCACAGGCCGGGCTGGGGGACCCCCCTCCCCCCTACCCCCCGAGTGCACAAATTTTTGTGCACTGGGCCTCTAGTAGTTAGATAAGCATCATAGTATACTTAATTTATAACGAAAACAACTTGAAGCCTAAATGTTAAAGGGATTTCCCCCAAAATTACAAAACTAGAGTGGTGAAATCAGGTATTGAATTTATGTCTTTGACTAGAAATTAGTCCAATGCTTTAAAAAAAAAATTACACTAAATGTAGTACTTCAATGATCTGCTTACAGTATTTCAAAAAAAATGAATGTAGTAAGATTCTAAAATGACAGTTTTTACAGTAAAGTAACTACCTTGAGGGGGCAGAACCTGTATGTAGCACTGTCTTCCCAGTTGTGTCCATTCTTTGAATCACAAGATGATCTAAGACCATCTTCTTTTTGGCCCTTTCAAGAATATCCTCTTCCACTGATCCCTTCGTAACTAGACGATAAATATTCACCTGTGAAGATATGCAAGATGAAACAAACTGAAATTAAATGGATTTGTTTTGCAAATCTGAAGTACCCAAATATTGGAATATAGACTGAAGCTCATCCCACATGAAGTTTTCACTGATTCAAAGCAAAGTGGAAAAAAAAATAAATAGGGGATAAAGAATACCTGTTTCTTTTGCCCGATACGATGAGCTCTAGCCTGCGCCTGAAGATCATTTTGTGGATTCCAATCAGAATCAAATATAACCACAGTGTCAGCTGAGGCTAAATTAATTCCTAGACCTCCAGCTCTTGTGGAAAGCAAAAAGCAGAAATCCTGTAAGGAATTATAGATAGGGACAATTTTAAATTCTTCCAAATTATAATTCAAAATAATCAATATGAGAGTTTTATTATTCACTTTTTGAACTTAAAAAATATCTTACCAATAAAACGGAAAGGTAGTTTTTAAAAATAGTAACAAAATACATGCACCTCTACAAAAGCAAGTAAGATTTCAAAATATAGCTATATATGGGAAAAATAAACATCAAATTTAAATAAATTTTTCAATGAAAGTGGGCTAATTTACTTTAAAGCAAACTGCCTTATGCTGAAATAGTATTAAGAAAGATTAACGTTCTATAACATACCATATTAATTTAAAAACCTGACATGCAAATTGAATTGGTTCCCACCGATAAGATGTTTTGTAAAAACTACAAGTATGACAAAAATAATGAATGAAACAGTTTACAATTTTAAAAGCATCCATACCTCTGATCCTTCAGCATTAAAATGATCTAGAGCTTGTTTCCTCAACTCCCCTTTTATTGATCCATCTAATCTCTAGAATAAAACACATTAAAATACCACATATAAAAGAATTTAAAATCTTTAAAGGCATTAAAATAAATTATAAAGTAATATATAAAAATTCAGCATTGTTTTTGCTAAAACTGTAAGGGCAGAAAGTACTTTTAGGCAGTAAAACAATGACGAGGCATTATTTCTCTGGAGTCTGTGCTCTTAATCACTAGGACTGCTTCCCCGAATAGTAAATAACATAGGTTGTCATTCTACCTTAGACCCTCTGTAAGTAATACATTTTAGAAATGCAAATTATTGAGCTCTGTCCTAGACTGATGAAGCTCTGAGGGAGGAGTTCCAGAAAAAGCCCTCTAGTTAATGTTTAAGAATCACGGATTTGGGGCTCTAGTCAAATAGCCCACATTTGAGTATTAATGAGTGGCTTGGACAAGTGATTTGGCTTTTCTTCTTGTCAGTTTCATCCTTAGTAACATAAGAATACTACTTACTTAATAGAAAACAGAGGATTCAGTGAGAGAATGCAGTAAAACACTTAGCACAGTGCCTGACATACTAAGTGCTTACTAAACATTAGCTAACCAATAGATGTGCAAAATAAATATAAAATTTTAAAGTGTTTCTTTTTTCACTAAAAATTACAATTAGAAAAAACTTTTGCCCTGGCTGGTTTTGCTCAGATGATAGAGCATCAGCCTGCAGACTGAAGGGTCCTGGGTTCAATTCCGGTCAAGGGCACATGCCCAAATTGCCCACTCAATTCCCAGTAGGGGGCATGCAGGAGGCAGCCGATCAATGATATTCTCTCTCATTGTTGATGTTTCTATCTCTCTCTCCCTCTCCATTCCCCTCTGATATAAATACAAGTAAAAAATAAATTAATTAAAAATAAAAAACTTTTAAAAAATAGTGGGATATCATTTTTTTGAGGCATGACCTAAACCAAAATAAAGTTAAAAAATGATTCTGGGTAGTGATCTGGAACGGAGAAGTAATTAGGGGCAGAGAACAGTTGCTTACAAGTACTTTTGTACCACCCCCCCCCCACACACACACACTCTCCCTCTCTCTCTCTCTCTCTCTCTCTCTCTCTCTCTCTCACACACACACACACACACACACACACACACACAGTATTTCTGTGTGTACATATACTTTTTTAAAAAAAAATCCTCACCTGATGATAAGTATTCATTGACTTTAGAGGAAGGGGGAGAGAGGAAAACATCAATCTGTTGCCTCCTGTATGTGTCCCAACTGGGGAATGAATCCAAAACCTAGGTATGTGCCCTGACTGGGAACCAAACCCCACAACCTTTTGGTATACAGAACACTCTAACCCACTGAGCCACCCAGACAGAGCTGTACACTATTTTTATTTGACCATGTACACATAAAAATTTCCCTAAAATCAAACCAACATAGATGGGGTGGGGATGTGGGGTGGAATGGGGAGACAGAGGGTGATAGCTAAAGGGTACAGTTTCTTTTTGAAGTGGTGAAAACATTCTATAATTGACTGTGGTGATGGATATCTGCGAATATATTAAAAACCAATGTATTATGCACTTTAAATGGATGAGTTGTATGAAACAAAAATTACATCTCAATAAAGCTGTTGTTTTTTAAAAAATCAATGGTGTTCTTTCTTACTTTTCCCTTAAATGACTACATATTTCTCAACCATGTTCATATTACCAAACACCTGTCCTTCATAGGACTTACCAAAGATGTAATGTTATATTTGTTTGTAATTAACTGCTTAATGTCTATCTCCCATACCAGGCTGTAAACACCAACAGAGCAGGGATTATGTGTGTTGAGGTTGATCATTTTAATTCTACTTCTATTCTAATGCTTGAACCAAATACACATAATTCACTAGCTGTATATACTGGATTAAGATTATAAAATATAAAATTCTGGAAGTAGCACCTAACTCTAACACTAAACACTCATCCATATTTGCTTTAGTTATGTTGAATTTCAAAGTAAATACTGAATAAACAGAATATAAGCCAATTTTGGTCGCTAGTATCTACTCTAAGGTCATTAAGTTTTATTCAGCAAAATATGCATTAGAATAATTATGAGCACATAAATCTACAGAATCTGCAACTGTCCTGATAACATTCACAAGGAGTGATCTGTCTTTTCCTTCCTCAGACTAAAGCCTAATACATAAAGATGCTCCTTTAGATTTGAGCACAGAAGAGAAATACAGAATTAAAAGAAAAGTTGAAGAAAAATTGTTTTGCTGTTAAATGTAAGGTCAAGAAGAAAAAGGAATGATCACAAATAGAATTTTTAAACACACATTTTCTTAAAAGGAAAGTAGTTTCTATAAAAATCTTCACTTACAGAAGAATTTCAAAGGTTTAAGAATATGTTGAGGAATTCCATGAAATTTAAATCAACAAAAATGACAAAATGAAATGCTTACTTGAAAGGGGAATTGACGATATTTCAAATACTCTGCAAGTATATCTAACATCCGCACCATTTGAGAAAAAATAAGAACTCTATTGCCTCTTTCTCTTAGGCGAATTAACAGCTTGTCAAGAAGAATCAATTTTCCGCTACTACGGATTAAGTGCTAAGGAAACACAATAAATTACAACTGTTATAATTTTTAAAAGAACTAATCAAATGAAACAAATGCCCCACCACTTAAACACAAGTTTAATTTTAAATTGAGATTTTAAATTTTCATAAAGTTGGAAAACAATCTGTTTTCAGTTTACGAAATCTTCTAGGATGGCCTTTATCATTTTGCTCTATGCTTTAGGATAAAAATTTTCTTGCCACTTGGCACCTACGTTTTTGTTATATTTTCAAGAGAAAAAAAGAGACATGGTCTCACTCTATTTGCTACTTATTACACTATTTCCCCAAAAATGTAAGCTGAAAAACAATACACTGGAACTAAGCATTCAAAGGTTTTGAAAGAGTAAGAAACTGTATTCTAGTTTATACATATAGAACTTCATGATCCTAGCACTTCAAAGCATTACTGTGACTGAATGTCAACTACTTTGTTCACACTTCTCATCTGTCTTTCTGAAGTGAGAAGGGTAAGATCTGAAGTCAAGATATCCTTCTTAAGACAACCATTTGCCATCATTACATATTCAGCATAATCATTATTAGTGAATTTTTTTTCACAATTATGAATACAATAAGATTTGCTGGATAAATTATAACAGCTCATAATTAGAAAGATCCATTTTTAGAAAAATGATCAAAATAATTGGATAAATTATAATTTTAAATGCGTTGATAAAGACTAAAAGATAACAAACACCATTATTTAGATATACATTAGCCAAAGAGAACTTCTAACCAATATATTAAAGCCATTTTCAGTTATAACTGAAATAAACATTTCTAGAATTTTGTTTTACCAAAATTAGAGTATTTTAAAATTCTTACTTGTAAGGCCTCCTGTTTATTATAGAATTCATTATTGTCTGGTGGTTTAATGAGGTAGCAGTGATTACAACATTTCTTTAGCTCCATCATAATATTCAAAAAGCCTGAGGTACTGCCCTTGGAACCTTTGCTGAGGGCTTTGTAATTCCTAGTTAATATCCATCTGTCCAAAAAAAAAAAAGAAAAAGGAAAGAAAAGAAAAGAAAATGGTGTTTAGAAGAGGACAATACCAGGATGAATTATAAAACCATAAAAAATAATCAAGCACCAAAGCAAAATTTTACCACTAGGAAGTTAACAGCTTCATATAATGGACTAAATCTTGTTCACAAGACTGATAGACCTCGTTCATAAGACTAACGATAACTTGTTATCTGAACTATTAAATAAAAATGGTAAAAGTTTAATGTAACATAGCTGAGTAGAATGTATTTATCCTTCCCCAAAAAATTTACTTTAAAAATGGTCAATTGTATTGTCTATCTTAACCTTCCTATAAGTTTCACTCCATAGGTAGCTCATGTACAGACCTAAAAGAAATCTCATGAGAATACCTATTTTAGCCATTTCTCTAAAATACAATTACACAAGTTATGGAAAAATTATGGGTGATTATTTTATTACTCCCAATTACACACAATTCTTCTCATCATAAACCACTTTGTTTTCTATCACCTTTTATTTTCTTCCTTTTTACAGTCTTAAAAGGTACTTAAAACAGTTATATCTCTCATTTGCTTCAAAATGATAGTAGTTGGGGGAAGTGGAGGAGGCTAGATAAAAGACTGGATGAGTTGAAAAAAACAAAGTGGAATAATGGGAATTTATTACACTATCCTCTTTTTGTATATATTTGGAATTTTCCATAATAAAAACCTAAAATTCATGCAATAAATTTATTTCTTTAAATGTATGGCATTACAGATTTTACGATACAATAGGCTTCTGAGAATTCAAATGCATGCAGTACATTTTATGCAATTAGATATTTAAATAGATGTGTCATGCGATTAGATTTATTAACTCATTAATATATAAGATCTGACATGCATGATTTATACAAAATGATTATTAAAAAAAAAAAAACAGACCTAAATATTTTTCTAAATTTCTCTTTATGGTCTCTACCTCTATCTGTCCATTACATAATGATCATCTCTCTCTCTCTCTCTCTCTCTCTCTCTCTCTCTCTCTCTCTATATATATATATATATATATATATATATTTATATATATATATGTATATGTATATATAAAAGCCTAAGCGACCGGCTGACTGTCCGGTAGCTATGACGTGCACTGACCACCAGGGGGTAGACGCTCCATGCAGGAGCAAAAACCACAGGCATGGAAACATGGAATAGACTGATGAATCTCAGAGCGAAGAGGGGAGAGGGGAGCGTGGGAAGAGATTAACCAAAGATCTTATATGCATACTAGAGGCCCAGTGCATGAATTCGTTCACGGGTGGAGTCCAGCCGGCCCGGCCTCAATCAGGGCAGATCTGGGCTGGGCCTGTCGAGAGGAGGAGACAGCAGGAGGTTGCCTGGCCAGCCCACCCTGATCGGGACTGGGCTGGCTGGGGAGAGGGGCTGAGGGCAACTGGCCAGCAGGCCCTGCCCCAGATTGGGGTGAGGGGGCAGATTAGGGGCGGGGCTGTGGGCTTGCCTGCCCCGCCCCTGAATGGGGTGGGGGGCCAATTGGGTCAGTGGCCAAGGGGAGGTTGGCTAGCCAGTCCTGGGGTGGGGCTGGGCAGGAGGAGGGGCTGCAGGAGGTTGGCCAGCTGGCCTGCCCCCTATTGAGGTAGAGGGAGGGTGATCAGGGGAAGGGCCGGCCGGAGGGAAGGCCCGCAAGGTGTTTGGCTGGCCGCCCCACCCTCAATCGGGGTGCGAGAGGCTGATCAGGGGTGGGGCTGGCCGAGGGGAGGGGCTACGGGAGGTTGGCCCCACCCCCTTATCAGCTGGTTAGCTTGCTGTAGTAGGCGTCATAGCGACCAGCCATTCCAGTTGCTGGCTTTTTATATATAGATATAGACTAGAGCCTGGTGCATAGATTCGTGCACTGGTGGGTCCCTCAGCCTGGCCTGGGGGGATCAAGCCGAAAGCAGCCCAATGCAATCCGTGCATCATTGGGGCCCTTACCTGGCTTGCAAGGATCGGGCTGAAACTGGCTCTCCAACATCCAAGAGGTCCCAGATTGCAAGAGGGTGCAAGACAGGCTGAGGGACCCCACCAGTGCACAAATCTGTGCACCGGGCCTCTAGTAATTATATAACAATGCCTTAATACCATGGAAATCCTAACACTTAAAAGGAACCCTCTATAAAGTATGAAGTAGAAAACAACTAATGATGTGTTAAAAGGTTAATGACTTAGTTTTGTATTACCCATGATGGATGATGCCACTGAACACTGATTGCCATTAAATCTTTCTTTGCCCCAATATGCCACAGGATTCAAGAATTATAACTGTTTTAAGACCCTATTGGGGGGATGGGGACACCTCAATGTGACAAGTATAGGGCACTTATTTATAATTAAATGTTTAGATCATGTGCTTAGTTTACAACTTACTTGTAATACTGTTTCTGTAAAGCACTCATTTCCATTCTTAATATCTGCTCAACCTTAGCAGGAAGTGATTTTTCCACATCTTTCTTAACTCTGCGTAACAGAAATGGCTCAAGTTCCTTGTGGAGGCTTGCATAACCATATTCTCTGCCTTTGCCATGCTCTTCTTCAAAATCTTCCCAGGAAGAAAACCTTACAAAGTTAAGAAAATGGAAGAATCACTAAAAACAGTCATATTGCAGATGAGATTTTTTTCAGGGTATTCATATGTAAACAAAAAATAGATTTTTTTTTTTTAGGGAAAAATTAGCTAAAATTTTACAGTTTTAATAACTATCTTTCCCAACAAGTCCATTATATATCCATAAAGATAAAATATAAGTTGTTTTATAAAAATTATGAAAATCCTTGAGTTAAATAAAGATGAAGTTTTTTCAAATATGGGAGTAATTATCACTAAAATATTTCTCAAATGATATAATCTTAAAGTTCTGAAACTACAGATAGAGTATGTATGTGACCCTGAAAAAGTTATTATACACATTTGGTCTAGTTTTCCTCACTTAGAAAATAGGATTACTAGCAAAGTAATCAGATTTGAGTGTTTTAAGCAAGGTATATTCTGAACATGGGCAAAATCAACTTTTATTAAAATGGGCTCCTTTATTTATTTACAAAATGAGAAAATTAACATAGCACTTACAAATATAAAATATCCCATTTTCCTTTTTTTTCCTTCTTAATAATCTGTGGGCCAATGTTTTAGGACAACAAAATCTCTTATTGACCTTATTACCTACACTATTACTTCCTGCTAAACTTAGCATAAGAACATTAATATTGTATATCCTGATTTATCTTACTTTTCTGGCATAATGAAATGAAGTAAAGACCAGAGCTCTTTGAGGGAGTTTTGTAGAGGAGTTCCAGTGATAAGGAGACGGTGATTGGACTTAAAGTCTATTAAAGTTTTATACAGAAGAGAATCATCATTCTTTAATCGATGTGCTTCATCTACACCTATAAATGCCCAATTTAGACCGCCAAGGAATGCCTTAAAATGAACAGAAAAATATAGTTAATATTTTGAGAGAAAAATTGAATTCAAACTTATGCTTCTCATTTGACCGTAATTCAAATTATTAAAATGAGGCAAATTAAAATTAAAACCAAACCTAACTCAGATTTCAAATGAAAATTTCATCATTTTAAGATAAACTGGAATCCTCAAATCAAGTAATTAAACATGAACATTTTTATCAGTTTACAGACTAAAAACAAAACACTAATATCATTTAAAATTTTTACAAGAGATTTTTAACCCAAGTCCAGGAAAAGCCTTTATTAATGTCAACTTAGAGAAGACATAATACAAATTTGAAACAGTATCTTACTCCAATTATAGAATTCATCGTATGCTTCTAGAACTATACATTTCTCATATATAAACACGTGTCTGACTTAAATCAGAGACTTTATTCTGTTACTTAATAGCTTTATGACCTTAGGTTAAGTTCATTATCCTTTTGAGACTTGATTTTTCTTTCCAATAAAATAGAGATAGCAGTATCTTGTAAAGTAAATGAGAATTGAGATATTATAAAGAAACAAGACAATAGCTATAAAGCATTTAGCATAGGGCTACATGCAGTGACAGTTCAATCCTGCTAGCTACCTACCTTCCTCTTCTCATAAATCAACACACTACACCAAACTAGTTTCATATAAGTTAAGAGTTGGCAAACTTTTATTTAAAGAGCCAGGCAGGAAATATTTTAGGCTTTCCAGACAAAGGTATGGTCTCTGTTGCATATTCCTTGGTTTGTTTTTACAACCTTTTAAAATGTAAATATTCTTCTTAGTTCAAGGGCTACAGCAGTGGTTCTCAACCTTCTGGCCCTTTAAATATAGTTCCTCATGTTGTGACCCAACCATAAAATTATTTTCATTGCTACTTCATAACTGTAATGTTGCTACTGTTATGAATCGTAATGTAAATATCTGATATGCAGGATGGTCTTAGGCGACCCCTGTGAAAGGGTCGTTCGACCGTCAAAGGGGCCGTGACCCACAGGTTGAGAACCGCTGGGCTACAGAGTGCTGACCCTTAATTTACTATCTCATTCTATCCACACACATTATAAAGAAAAAACTGACATCCATCAAACAAAAACATAGGTATACACACCTTATCCTTCAATAAAATTTCATAAGTTGTTAACAGTATGTTAAATTTTAACCGTTTGGTCTGGGGATGCATCCATTCATGAGTTCTTATCTATCAAGAAATGTTAAAGATAATTTTAAGATACACATTTTAAATAATATAACTTTACTTGAATTTCTAAAATAAAATCCATTCAAAACACACAAAAATTATATACATGTTTATATAATAAAATAGTTTTGTTATTCCTTATATAGCCCAACCAGCTATTAACCATGTAAGTAAAATGTATCAAAATCTTCTATAAAATAAAGCACACAGGTCTTTTAATACTGTACACTTTTCACTGAAGAAAGTTAACACAACACTAGTGATTAACTCATTTAATAACATTTATGGATGAAATATGATATCTGTGATTTGCTTCCCAATAATTGGGAGGAAAATACCAGGTAGAGGTACAGATGAAACAAAACTGGCAATGAGTTAAAACTTTGAAGCTGGAGATAGGCACATGAAGGTTTATTATACTCTTCTGTTGGATTTCATGTATATTTGAAATTTTCCATTAGAAAGAAAAAATAATCTATAAAGTAACACTAAACCAAAATTTGATTTTTAATTACAGCCAATTAAAAATGTACTGAGCACTTACTTTTTGGCAAGTTCTATGTTAGAAACTAAGACCAAAAAACAAATGAAATATTCCTCTTCAAAGAAAATATGCCTATATTTCATAAATTTGTGAAGACACCACTTACCATGTTTCTACTGTTAATGTCACCTAAATAAACCACAGCATTCATTTGAGAAGCCCATGTCTGAATTTCCCTTTGCCAGGACGTGAGAGTGGAGAGTGGTACTACTAATAGAAAAGGTCCATATAATTGATGTTCATTAAACAAATAGTTCAGAAATGAAATCGTCTGTATTGTTTTTCCAAGGCCCATTTCATCAGCAAGTATGCAACTATTTCCTCTACAAAGTTAAAAACAAAAATCATGTATGCAATAAAGATTCAAATTTACAAAGAAACTTTTTACATAATTCAAGTATAAGTTTATATGACCAGTTAAATAAAATTAATCTGAAAGGTATTATATACAATATACCACTTTTATTAGCTATAAATAACAAAGGTAAAGGTATAAGAAAAGCAGAGGGAGTTTACCATTTTAGGGCAGAAGAATCTTAGAAATTGAAAGTATTTTCCAATTAATCAACTATGTAGCCAAGAACTCAATCCATCTTCCAATGGTAGAGTTCGAATATATTAAGTAAAAAGTAGGAAGAACATATAGCAGGAAAAACTATAGCTATGGTAAAGTTAAAAAAGAAAAAAAAAGCACCCTAGAGTCACCTTATATTGTTAATAATGGAGCAGTGGACATGGGAGAGAGGGGAAAAAATGGAAGGGCTAACCGGGTATTAGAAATAACTGGGAAGAAGAGAAATAGTCCAAGACTACTGTGGGATAGGAATATATATGTTCTGAGTTTAAGATGAATAAAAATTTAAGTACTGTGACAGGTTAAACTAAAAACGGCATTACTTTTTCTTCTTAGTATGTAATAAGTACTGTTTATGTACAAGCAATTCAAAGACCTGCATATAAATACTAAAGGGACTCATTCTTTATGTTGGGGAATCTTTTCCAAATCCTATAATTGTAACAATCTTACCCTCTCAAATTGAACAGATGATTCAAAATACACTTACTTGCACCAAGAGTGAGCAAGCCAATTTAAACCATTCAGTTGATAATCTCTTAATTCTAAACCTTCATGTCCCCCAATATAGGATGGCTGCTTCTTTAGGGCTACAAATCTTGGCCTTTGTTTTAATACCTTTAGTAGAAATAAATGTTAATATGAAAAATTATTAAATGTAAGAAATTATATTAAAGGATGAAAAATCTCAGCTTTTCCCATAAATTTTGAAATATCATCTCAAATCAAATTCAGAAATTCCATGACTCAAAATATACCTGATTCAGTTAAAGGAGACTGTCTTCTATTATTATAACAAGAACATACAGTGAAACATTTTGCCCTCCTTTTGAATGAAAAATTAAAAAGATAATTAAGTTCCTGATGAAATATTTGGGTCTTGTGTATTTCAAGCTATGTTATCCATTTACTTTAAGCACTGCTAAGCCCTGACATAGAAATAAATCATAAAACTGGCTTACCCTCCTATTGGATTTCTGATTTCTAAGTTACCATTATTAATTCAATCTTGTAATAAGAAATTCCAGTGGTACTTAGACCCCAAAATTATCACTAATAATAACTTAAAGTACACAGATCTTATATTAGGCATGGTAGGCCAGGATACCTTATAGATACGTGACTTTTCCTTTCCTACCTTCAAAGAAAATATTCACTACCTTTTAAACCAATCATATACACCTAGTTTCCAGAGGATGTTCTATTTTTTGTCCTAAACTTACTCACCACAACTACCACCACCAATTTATCATCTTTCTGACACAGTTTTGCTCACCAAGGCTAAAAGACAGTGCCACATCTAAGATCACACAGTAATTACAGGAATATCATTTCCTGTAAGATTTACCAACCAAGTAGTTCTCTTTCTTAGCCTATCCAAAATCAGGATCTAACTCTCTAACCTGGACTTGTAATACTTAAGATGCACAAATACATTTTCAATATTAAAAATGTCAAATAATACTCACTTTGCAATCTTTAAAAGGAGTGGTTTTTGACTGATTTCTGCTAAAATATTCGTCTATACATGCTTGAAACTTTTTGGAAATGAGAGCACCATCCTCCCAGCTGCACTCTGAGTATGGAAGGCCCTGCCATTTGCAATAATAATCAGGATAACCAGCTGCTGACTTTTGATTGGAATGAGCTGTGAGATAAATCAAATTTTGTTTAAAATTAAATCTTACCCAATGAATAATTCTTGTTAAAAACTACACAAAAATTAATCATGTTTTAAAATACTCTAGTATTTCATAAAAGCAAGCTACTGTGTTTAATGTGTAAGCAGTAAATTTAAGCTTTTTTTCAGATGTTTAATTAGAAACATTTATTACTAACCAATGATTCGCTCCACTATTTGATACTGTTTATGCAGATCATCTGTAAGTTCTTGCTGGCAATTATAATATTCCACATCTTCTGGAGAAGCATTTTTCAACCTGAAATATTAAAGCAAGGAACATGCTTCAAAATCTTGCCTAAATAACTGTCCCCCAAAAAACTATCAGTAACATGTACTCCTTGTTAATAAAAACCTTAGTAATAATCTTAAATCTATAAAAATATTAATAATACATGTCATATTTACCATCTTTTTGTTTCCTGATCTTTTTTCTTATAATTATCCAATTTTTTCATTCCTCTAACATTCTGCTGTTTAAGGGTTTCTTCTGTCTCCCAAGTATTGTGAATATGGGACCATCCTTTCCATTTAATTAAATATTGGATTTCTCCTGGTTCCTTGTTTTTTTCAAATCCTGCATTTGGGTCACCATCTGCTTCAACTGCATAGATGGTTGTTGTAGCACCAGTAGCTGAAAAGCAAAGCACAATACATTCCCTGTAATTCTGTTATAGGAATACTTCCATTCAACTCAAAAATTAAAGAATATGAATAGAAAAATTATATGCTCTCTTAAGTCAAATATCAGGGCACAGGAATTTATGTGAAGTTACATTATATGTATGCAATAAAAACTCAGAATTTTAGAACAGAAAAATTATCTAATTTAATCACTTCAGTATTAAAATTAGAAAAAACAAGGTCAAAACTTAGTGGCAAACCTAAGAGTATACAGCAATATACAATAACTGTTGATTGGGAGACTGATAATTAGAAACTAAAATAACTTAAAATCATTTTTAAAAACTGCATGCCTGAAATCACTATGTCAAAGAAATATCTGCACTCCCATGTTCACTGTAGCATCATTTATAATAGCCAAGCCAAGGAAACAATCTAAGTGTCCATCCAGCAACAGATGAATGGATAAAGAAAGTTTGATATACACACACACATATATATATGAATATTATCAGCCATTAAAAAGGAAATCTGCCATTGTGACATGGACTTTGAGGGCATTATGCTGAGTGAAATAGGTCAGACAGAGAAAGGCAAATACTATATGCTCTCATGTACAAAAGCTTTAAAAAAAAAAAAAAAAACACCAAACAACCTAGTAGAAAAAGAGATTAGATTTATAGTTACCAGAGGTGGGAGGAATATGATGAAAGTGGCCAAAAGGTTCAAAATTCCAGTTATAAGATAAATAGTACTAGGATGTAATGTATAACATAATGACTATAGTCAACACTGCTATATGGTAGATTTGAAAGTTACTAAGAGAGTAGATTCTTTGTTTTTTTTTAAATTAAATTTACTGGGGTGATATTGGTCAACATGAACATATAGGTTTCGGGTGTGGGTTTTTATATTATAAGATTTGTATATTGCACTGTGTGCTCACGGCCCAGTCAAATCTTCTCCTGTCACCATATATTAGGGCCCCCTCTGGCAATCACCACTCTGCTGTTTGTATTCATGAGTTTCAGTTTTATATCTCACATGAGTGAATTCATATGGTTCTTAGCCTTTTCTGACTGACTTATTTCACTTAGCATACTCTCAAGGTCCATCCATGCTGTTGCAAATGGCGCTATTTCATCCTTTTTTATGGCTGAGTAGTATTCCATTGTGTCTATGTACTACATCTTACTAAGAGAGCAGATTCTAAAAATTCTCACACTAGAGAAATTTTTCTTTCTTTCCTTTTTTATTTATTGTATCTATGACCTATTGGATGTTACCTAAACTTATTGTGGTAATTATTTTGCAATACAGGTAAATCATTATGCTGTCCAACTTAAACTTATACAATGCTATATGTCAATTATATCTCAACTAGAGGCCTGTTGCAGAAAGATTCCTGCAAGAATAGGGCTTCCTGCAGCCGGAGTGAAGCAGCGGAGAAGGGAGTGAAACCCGCCAAGGTGGGCTTCGCTCCCTTCTCCGCTGCCTCTGCTCCCTCCCTTCTCCACTGCTTTGCTCCCTTCTGCAGCACTTGGCTTCCTTCTACGCTGTCTTCAGTCTTCGCTCCATGCCTGCGTATGCAAATTAACCACAATCTTTTTTGGGTTAATTTGCATACTCACTCTGATTGGCTGGTGGGTGTAGTGGAGTGACACCAATTTGCATGTTTCTCTTTTATTAGTGTAGACTAGAGGTCCGGTGCACGAAATTTGTGCATGGGGGAGGGGGGGATGTCCCTCAGTATGGCCTGTACCCTCTCCAATCCAGGACCCCTCAGGGGATGTCCCTCTTGCAATCCTGAACCACTGGCTCCTAACCACTCACCTGCCTGCCGTCCTGATCCCCCTAACTGCTCTCCCTTGATGGCCTGATCCCTCTAACTGCTCTCCCCTGCTGGCCTGATCCCTAACTGCTCTCCCCTGCCGGCCTGATCATCCCTAACCGCCTCTGCCTCAGCCCCGCCACCATGGCTTTGTCCGGAAGGATGCCTGGAAGGCCATATGGAAGATGTCCTGTTTAATTAGCATATTACCGTTTTATTCGATAATACAAAAAGGAGAAAAATGCATGTCAAGATAAGGAAAATTAACCTACATATTTGAAGTAAAACAAAAATACATTAAAAAAAAAAAACTCTCCAAAATCAGAACAAGAAATAAAAAAACCAAACTCTGTGAAATCAAAAGTACCTATATAACTATTATTTAGGCATGGCAACAGAAAAACTCAAATACACAGGTTAAAAATTTTATATTTATCTGAAATACATGAACTGAGATTAAATACCTATTTGTTGGGAAGAAAATACTCAAGCAATGCAAAGTATATTTTACAGCAAATAAGTAAAACAGAAGAAAATCTACAATCTTGGCTTTCAAAATTAAAAAATCTTCAAGAAATATTTTATTAATCTAGTAATATTATTGAAACCACCAAACAGTAAATGTGTTTTGTTTTTAAATACCTCCTTTTCTCCCAATCCGACAATCCATAAATCGTTCTATTGTTTCGAATTCCTCTTCCTCGGGTTGAGGAACATCCTCTCCACAGACTTCAAGGAGGTCATCAGAATCTGTTTTCATTTCTTCATCTTCCTTATAGCTCACATTGACAGTTGCTTGGCGACGAGAACTTCTTTTATCATTATCATAATCTTCATCGTCGTCCTCCTCGGATGAATCAATCTGTCTCTTTTTTTGTCCAAGGATCTTCTTTCCATTTTTTGACTTAGATCTAGGAAAGACCAGGGAGAGAGAGGTGTTTTATAGAAACAATGTCATAAAACCAGAGTTGAGAAACTATATAGAAAAAGAATAAATACCTTCTATAACCAACAATTTTCAGCAAATCGAGAACATACTTACCTATTTTGAGGTTTTCTACTTTTAACTTTGTTTTTTGGTTCATAATCAGATTCCGTTTCATCACAACTGCTTTTATCTCCTTCTTCTTCAGATTCTGAATCTGAACCAGATTGAGATGGAGATCCTGATGCAGACATCTGCCAATCTTCACTGTACATAAAATATATAAAATACATTTATTTATATTTACATCCTATTGCAAATTTTATCTGATAAAATACAAAAATAACAAAATAAATTGTATTCTAAATATTAAAAATATTGTTGCTTTCATGCATACTAAAAACACTTGTGTCTGTAGAAAAAGAAAAACATTCTAGAAAATATTTGTCATAGATTTCTCCCATAACTCCAGAGTTTTGTTAATCATTTACTTTATACCTCAATGAATGGCCATACATAAATGTTAGTTTGATTATCACTATGGATGAAAACAGTATACTAATTTTAAGAAACACAGGGTTTAATTTTTAAAATATTGTATATTGATCATACTTACCTACTTAAAAACAAAAATTCAAATCTCTTACAATTATCTGGAGATAGTGAATTTAAAAATATACGCTTCAAAACTGATTTTAAAAAATAGTACATGTTCATCAAAAAACTTAAAACAGAGTATGGGAAAATATATTTCTGAAAAATCAGCCCATCTCAACCTTTAATTATTATCTACATTACTATTTTTAGTCTAATTCCAATCAACATGTACAAACAAAATAGTGGACGCACATTTTAATATTCTGCCATAATATAAATTCCGAATAAAAGATTTATACTGAGTTCTATATAAGAACTGTCTCACAGTCACTGCTTCTACTCCACTGCTCTGAATCTCTTGTACTAATGACTATGTTAATGGTTACATAAGCAAGTACATATGATAAGATCTGGTTTATAATAAAAACATAATAGAGAAACAAATTCTTTTTTATCTTGAAATCTTTTTTTTTTTTATTTTGTTGAGGATTTTTTGTTCTTTTTAAAATATATTTTATTGATTTTTACAGAGAGGAAGGGAGAGAGATAGAGAGTTAGAAACATGGATGAGAGAGAAACATCGATCAGCTGCCTCCTGCACATCTCCTACTGGGGATGTGCCCGCAACCCAGGTACATGCCCTTGACCAGAATCGAACCCGGGACCCTTCAGTCCACAGGCTGACGCTCTATCCACTGAGCCAAACCGGTTTCGGCTTGAAATCTTTTCAGAGTTTACACATTAGCAGTAACAAGTGGCAGAATATATGAAAAATCTCCATTTTATATTTTTATAATATAAATTATGATTTTTATATCCAAGCAAGTCTATTAATCATCCAACATTACTCTTCTTAAAATATATATATATTATTGATTTTTACAAAGAGGAAGGGAGATAGAGTTAGAAACATTTATGAGAGAGAAACATTGATGGGCTGCCTCCTGCACGCCCCCTACTGGGGATCGAGCCAGCAAGCAAGGTACATGCCCTTGACCAGAATCGAACCTGGGACCCTTCAGTCCACAGGCTGATGCTCTATCCACTGAGCCAAACCGGTTACGGCCCGACATTACTCTTATTCTTTGCTTGCACCTATGTTGAGTTTAGAAATTACTAACTGGAGAAGAGTTACATATCTGATGAGACACAATAGTTGAAAATGAACTTAGTAAAGTAGAAGACAGATCTGGGAAAATTAGCCAGATTGTAGCATAGAAATAAAAAGATATAACACATGATATAGTAAGATTCATGGAAGATAGAATAGATGATCCAATAAATATATACAACGGATATGATCCAAGACAAATTTACATCTATTAATAGTAGTACTAGAGAGAGAAAATATCCAGATACAATGACTGAATTTTCAGAAACTAATAAAAGATATGCATCTTCATATTAAAGATGCATAAGATTAGATGCAAAAGCAGAGTAACAGATTCAAAGCTAGATATATCAAAGTGAAAATGCAAAATATCAAAGAAAATTGAAGAAGAGACAATAGAAAAATGCTTTTAAAAACAATGAGAGGAAAAAAACTCAGACCATCTAAATATCTGAATTGAGAATCTAAAGTACTTCTAATACTTGAAGAAATTATAGTGAGTTCCTAAATGAGTTCTATAAAGTAAATTTCATGTGCAGATGGATAGTAAGAATAACTGTTACCATAAATTAACAGAATCACCCCAAATCCATCATCAGTTGATCCTTTACACCTTTATACTGAAGTTAAGATTTTTCTGACATTATCAATAAGCAGATATTTTGAAGTTTAAAAATATATAAGGGAGAGGAGTTATAGGAGATAAACAAGTAGCACAAAAACCTTAAGTCATCACAGAAAAATAAATGTTAAGAATTAATGGTTTAACCCAGCAGGCATGGCTAGGTAGTTGAGCGTTGACCTATGAACCAGGGGGTCATGGTTTGCTTCCCAGTCAGGGAACATGCCCAGGTTGGGGTTTCAATCCCCAGTGGGGGGTGTGCAGGAGGCAGCTGATCAATGACTCTCTCTTATCAATGATGTTTCTATCTCTCCCTCTCTATTCCTCTCTGAAATCAGTAAAAATATATTTAAAAAATAATTAATGGTTTAAATTAACCTAATCAAATGTCATGAACCAAGAGTTTACAAAAGTCCATTTTTGGTAACAATTTCTAATAAAGGAAGAAATACAGAATCATTAGGATTTTCTTGATATGAGAGCAAGTAATGAATTGCACAAAATCACATACTCTTTATGCTTTTTCCTTTTGACCTCACTCGATGTGTCATCAGAATCTTCACTGCTAGAGGAATCCTGTAGGAAAAAAATAATCAAAGTTAATGTTATTAATGATTGCAATTTAACCATCACATCAAATTTTTGCTTGTCATATTATTTAAAGTTCACTTTGCTAGTAACAGTAAATATAAAACCTCTTTTTCCCATGTTATGTTTATACCATTAGCACATAAAGTGATCAATAACATTTCTATTCAAATTTATAATATAGCCAGTGAAATTAGGTAAACATTATGTCAGCATTTTGTACAAAATTTTAAAATCTGTCATCTGTTACATATAAGGGAGCTCCCTCAACAGAAACTTTACAGACATAAAATATTCAAAATGATGAAAAGCAAGGACCTACAAATAAGATTACTCAACTCAGCAAGGCTATCATTTAACATGAAAGGAGAAAGGAAGCTCAAGGAGTTTATCATCACCAAACCAGCATTATAAGAAATGTTAAAGGGACTTCTTTAAGGAGTTAAAAAAATGATGAAAACTACAAATAAAATGGCAGTCACCACATATCTATAAATAATTACTTTAAATGGAATGAATTAAATGCTCCAATCAAAAGACAGGGCAGCTGAATGGAGAAGAAAATAAGACAACAATTTGGCAACATGCACAAGAGACCCACTTCAGATTGAAAGACACACACAAACCGAATATAAAGAGATAGAAAAAGCTATTTTATGCAAAAGGAAATGAAAAGAAGCTGGAGCAGCTATATTTGTATCAGACAAAATAGACTTTAAAAATAAAGGCTATAATACCCCGCTGGTGTGGCTCAATGGTTGAGCACTGACTCATGAACCAGGAGATCCAGGTTCAATTCCTGGTCAAGGCACATGCCTGAGTTGCAGGCTTGATCCCCAGTAGGGGGCATGCAGGAGGCAGCGGATCAAACATCACCATTGATGTTTCTGTCTCTCTCTCCCTTCCTCTCTCTGAAATCAATAAAAACAAAAAAAGAACATTGCATATAAAATACCGAAGATAAGTACCCATCGATAGACAATTGGATAATGATGTGGTACATATATAAAATGGAATAGTACTCTAACATGAAAAAGAATGCAATCTTACTATTTGCAACAACATGGATGGACCTAGAGGATATTATGCTAAGTGAAATAAGTCAGATAAAGACAAATACCACATAATTCCACTCAAATGTGGAATTTTTTTTTAAAAAGTGAATAGAAACAGGAACAAACATAGATACAAAGAATAAACTTATAGTTGCCACATGGGAGGAAGGTTAGAGGGCTGAGAGAAAAAGGTGAAGGGATTAAGTAGTACAAATTGGCAGTTATAAGAGTTACAGAGATGTAAATTACAGCACAGGGAATATAGTCAATAATCTTAATATATAAAGAGGTAATATGCAAATTAGGCCAGGACACCCTATCGGGACAACTGGACAGGTGAAGGTGAGGCCTGGAGCAGAGAAAGGGGATCCTGCCCCAGCAAGTGCAGCAGCTCCGGCGGCCCGGAGCGGACACAGGCATGGGGGCAAGGGGGGCCTGGGGCAGAAGTCAGGGACGGTCCAGCCTGACTTTCTAGGCGGCCCGTGGGGTGCCTCCTCACACAGCGAGAGGCAGGGCACCTCCTCACGCAATTGGGCCTCTAGTATTGTAATAACTATGCATGGTGCCAGGTAGATATTAGACTTAGGGGAGAGGGGACCACTTCGTAAGTTATATAAATGTCTAACCACTATGATGTACACCTGATACAATATAATACTGAATGTCAACTGTAATTGAAAAAATGAATCTATCAACTCTGGAGACCATTATTATTGCCTAGTATGACCTCAATAAAGAATCTTAATTGTTGATATGTCAAATTTTAATATTTTTCTCCCCTATTAGGCTCACATGCACATAGGAACTACAGCATTTATAGCTGCAGCCTATTCTTTTAAAAATATGTTGAGAATTTTATTAATATTCTGTATAAATATGATTTAAACAGTATATTATTTCTTCATTCATATATGTGTAAACACATACGTATGTGTATTTTCCTGGTATTCACATTTAGCTTATTTCTAGTTTTGCTTTGATGAGCAAATGCACACCAATTTCCATTTCTTATTTTGGATTAATCCTTAAAAGTACAATTATTAGGTAAAATCTCTATTTCAAGACTCTTGATACATATATTTAAATGTAGTGATCTTCTATCCTTTAAAAACACTTATTATTTCTAATAATCTCTTAAGTACCTTCCTACTTAAATAATTAGGCATCATATCTTTTAAAATATTAGCTTTCATAATGAAAACTCACCTCTTCTGATCCACTATTAGATGAAACTTGTTGTTGTTGTTGTTGTTGCTGCTGGTGCTGCTGCTGCTGCTGCTGCTTCTTGAGCATTGCGGATCTCTGAACAGCCAGAATACTAGGGCTGGATTTCCAAAACTATAATAGAAATATGGACCAGTAAAGGATAAAGTTTTGAAAAAAACTGAAAAGAGGTTATTTTATTGAAAAGCACTACCAACATTTTCACTGCCTCCAAATAATAAAGATTACCTTCCTTACTCACATGTAATATTAGTGCAATCTAATAAAGATAAAATGTTGACCTTTAGTTGCATATAAATATTTATGCAAGTTTCATAGACAATGTTCTTTTGTGTTACAAGTTAACTTTCAGAAACAAAGTGATAATATGAGACACCAGTGTTACTCCAAGTATGGCTGCTTATTTTTTCTAATTGGTGTGAAGTAAACATGAAGAGCTTAAGTCAGAATGCAAATCAGCTACATTACTAAGAACTTTTTTTTTTCTCCTGACAATATTTTCTCCATGAAAAAAGCTATGTGTTTATTTATATTCTGGTCCAAGCATCTTAGGATTGGATCTCTAAGTAATACTACATATGCTATTATGAAGTGTAGACAAGTTTTATTAAGTCTTGTAGTAGCTTTTACAAACAGAATGTCCCTTAGTTTATTCTATCAGTTATCTTCAAGGAAGCAGAGTTCTCCTGCTACTAGCAATAAAGTATCTCCATGAAGATCTTGAAAGTAGAGATCAGACACTGTAGAAGTAACAAAAAGATCTCACAAAGTCTTTAGTATTTATCTGTTGGACACTAAACATGAAACTCAATGTCTGCCTCACAAAGAAGAATAGGTTTGGTGTGTGTTTATTTTGTATTTGATGTTTTATAGTTACATATTCTCTTCCAAGCCAATTATTCCACAGATATTTAACCATAAGTGAAAATCACTGAAAGTAAATTTTAATTAAAATTAACGTTTATAAAAGCTAGATAAAGAATGCTATAAATTGTCTGGCTAGTGTAGCTTAGTGGTTGAGTGTCAACCCATGAAGCAAGAGGTCCCCAGATCAATTCCTGGTCAGCGCATGTTTTCCAGTCAGGGCATATGCCCCAACTTGTGGCTCAATCCCCAGTGGGGAGGAAGGCGTGCAGGAGGCAGCCAATCAATGTTTCTCTCTCAGATGTTTCTATTTCTCTATCCCTCTCCCTTCTTCTCTCTCTAAAATCAATAAAAACATGTTTTTTAAAAAAAGAGAATCATGTTATAAATCTTCCTTCATTGGATACTTTATTTATTACCTCAGCTCCATCAACTTTTGGTGGTTTTGCTTGAACTTTGTTCTCTCCAGAAGTGTCTGACTCAGACTCTGACTGACTGCCCGATTCAGATCCAGAGTCAGAGTCACTGCTACCTGACTGGCTACTGCTTCCATCACTACTGCTTCCAGAACTGGAACCAGATCCAGAGCCTGAAGCTGACCCAGAATCATCATCCGACTGGCTGCAATATGAAAATGAACAGATTTCAAACAAAATTCATTAGGAATTTAATCTTTCTTAAAAAGTCACCAGAAAGCCGCAAATCATTAAACTTTGTTTATTTCAAACTTTCTATGGCCAAATAGAAAAAGGAAATAAGGTTAATTTATACTAATAACTGACATGGTTAATAGATTTTGTATAATTTGGGCCAAAACGTAAGTAATCAGATCACAATCCTCCTCCAAGATAATGAACATATTCTACCAAGTACAGAATCCTGGGCTACAAACTTGGAAAGTTTAAGTCACAAGAATATTCTTAAGAGGCAATTTGGCTATAGTAAAATATTAAGTAGAACTTGTGAAGAAAAGGTTAAAAAAATGTGTTGAAAATTCTCATGGTAACAGGTGGAAGTTTATTTGTAGTTTCTACTTGTTTTCAAGTTTATATCTATGTTTTATCATTTTAGGAAAATGTGATTTATTATAACTAGGCTAATATAAAATACAAGGTACTAGAAAGTAAAATCAGTAATTGTTTCTCTGAGAAAATCGACTGTCATGATTCCACAGTAATAATCTAAAATAACAGCAAATTCTCACAATCTTTCCTAACCTCTATACACACGAACGTGAAAGCAATTAATTGTTCATTGAGAAACTATCAATTTCCCCATTACTAATTTTCAGTTCAGGGAAGCCTAGATATGGTCTGAACTAAACAACTGAATATATAAATTATTATTATCCCCAAGGCCATTCACATTTGAATTATTGAAAATTACAGAATAAAATTTTTGACACACAGACAGCCTTTGATGTAATTTCATCTGGCTTTATAAGCAACAATAGGTAATGTTGTTATCTATATAAAGAAAAACTCATGCTTCAAGTCTTCTGTTGTAATTTTCAGAAAAACCACCAGATGGAAGTATTACTCTATGAAAATAGATTTCATTAAAACGAATTACTTCCTAAAAGTAATTCTCCTTTCCAAGAGCAAGGAGTTAATAATTTCTACATGGAAACAGTGACATAAAAGTTTGCAAGAAAAGTTTTTATTTCAAACGTGAGATTTAAATTAAAATGTTTAAAATACAAATATATACAGATTTTTTCAATGGAAATATAGAAACAATAAACAAAAATTTGGTTCCTAAGAGGTATGATATAAAAATCATTTTTGTGACAATTTCTATCCTCTGATCACATGGTTCTGAGGTCTAGAAACAGAAAACTGCCTTTTAATTAAGTAAAACAACAAAAAAAACTATCCCTTAAAAAAAGGGGGGGGGAAGCATATGTAATACTTTCAACAATAAAGATTTATAAAACAAAAAAACAAAACAAAAAATATTATCCCTATTTTACTTGAGTCCATTGAGAGAACTTTTAGCAAGAACATTAGAGAAGATATTTTTCCTTATATACAATTTCATTCTACTGTGACCTGAGAGGTAAGAGACATCTACTTATTCAATAAACTTAACTGAGAACAACCATGTTAGGCACTGGAAAGATGGAGATGAGACAGTCCTTTAGAGAACTTCATAAGCCTGGTATGGATAGATGGTCATGTCAATCAATAAATACCATTCTGTGCTATATTTAAGATAATGGATCCAGGTATAAAGGGAGCACTGATGACACAACCAAGTTTGGTACAGTAATATCAGAACATTTAGAAGAAAGCATAGTTGAACTAATTCTTTAGGAAAGAATAGGCAAAAGGGATTTCACTTTAATTGTTTATAAGCTTCTTGAGGGTACTGTTTATTTTTCCAGAGTACCTACCATAGTACCTTTTACAGGTGGCTACTCAACAAATGCTCGGAAAAGTAAACAAATAAATTATTTAATCTGGGGGTGAGGGGCCCATCATGGGCCTATATCTTAGTCATATCTTGACAGTCCTTCAAGATGAATAGGGAGTCAACATTCCTTATTATTAGGCAAGACATGGTTCTGGCTGGAGATAAAAGCAAACAGCCTGAATCTAGGCTACTCTAGTGGCATAGGTTTATTATTAGAATGTTTCTACCTTAGATATTAGAAGTATAAAGTATTTATTTACTTTGTTTAGTTATTCTTAATGTGGTTAAGAACAAGATTTCTTTACAATTCTTTTTGTCCTTTAGGAAAACTCGCTCCCATAATCATATTATTGTCATAAAGTCAACTGAAAAAATCTAATTCTGTATGGCCAATTGATTTAATTAGGGTCATTTGCTTTTTATTCATTTGGATTTATTATTTACTTGGATTGAACCTGAGAGCTGCAAAACTTATAGTCAAAGTCCAGCTTCCATCCTATCTCCTCTATACTATGCCCTTTCTCCCCATTTAGTAATTATTTTTAAAACTTATTTCCCCCCTTTTTTAACTTAAGCAAATTATGAATGTTTATATCCCCCTTTCATAAACAATCAGATTTATACTCATATGTGTGTGTATGTGTGTGTGTATACATACACACACACACAGAGACAGACAGAGAGAGAGAGAGAGAGAGAGAGAGAAAATAACAGGAAAATTCAGCAAAAATTTAAAAATTAGTGAATCTGTGCAAAAGGTATATAAAAAACATTCTTGCAAAGAACTTTTATGCATAGATGCATAACTCATGAACATAGACAATAGTGTGGAGAAGGCCTGGCGTGGAGGAGGTCAATGGGGGAAAAAAGGAGACATCTTTAATACTTTTCACAACAGAGATTAATTTTTTAAAATTCTTGGTACCATTCTTGCAACTTTTCTGATATTAAAAATTAATTCAAAATAAAAATGTAAATAAAACAAAAACATTTCCAATACCACAAGCTTTTGTCATTAAGTGAAATCTCATTTGCTGATAAAGGATACAAAATGAGAAAATTTAAAAGCCACCAAAGTCAAATGATTATGAGGTTGGTAAACATTCGGTAGTATGCTATTATACAGTCAGTCAATAAAATGGCCAAAACACAGGTGAAGTATAAAAACTACACAAGCTTTTCCTAAAGTGACCTGGAAAAGTAGAAATATTAAGAAAGTGAAACTGAAAACCAATGGTATATAACAGCTGCCTTAGAAACTGCTAGTTGCCTAACTCAGCATATCATCTTTTCCTTAATAACAGAAATACCACTGTTATGGTCACCCAGTATAAAAGAATGTATAGCACAAACTCCCTGCAGTAACTGCTATTAGCTCAAGTTCAAATAAGATATTAAGCAGAAATGTTGAGTTGTACTTGTCCCAGAAACTGTTCAGTAGGGGCTGACGAAAGTAGGCAGTAGATACTCCCATTTTTGCCCTTCTGATTTGCCTTCAAAACTTTCAGAACTCTTAAAACTTGCGGCTGACAGAAGAAAAGATGGGGAAAGTGCTCAACGTTTACATCTACACGGGTTCGAATAGTACAGAGGCCAGTATCTTTATCCAGTATTCGGAGGGTTATTATAAGCCAATGTTGTTAATAATTTGAGTGACCAGAAAAATTACTATTCTGTTCAATAAGACATGTAATCCATTTTAAAACTGTTTTTTCAAGTTAAATTTTTAGGTGCTTTATAAGTGCAGCTATCGTCAATTATTTACTTCCTTGTGAGTTCCATGTAACTAAAATGTTATGATTCAGTATCTATGAAGTAGATTGGAGAAATGCTTTTCAAACTCTAAACCAATATCAAGATAATTTTTTAACTGCATATGCCTAGGCCCAATCCCATAATCTGTGTTGAAGCCAAGCACAGTGAATCTGTGCAAAAGGTATATAAAACACATTGAGGTTTCCAATGGCTTACCTTTGTTCTTAGGATAAAATGACTAAAATCGGACTTCTGCCTACCTCTCCAATTTCATCTTAAAACCACTCCCCTATCTCTATTCTGCACCCTAGCCTCACTTACTTCTTTCAGCTCTTGAGTTTGCCATGCCTTCTCACCTTACAGCCTTGGTATAAAACAATTCTCCATACCTGGAAAGCTTGTTAATCCTCCTTCCCTGGTACTCCTTCTCTACTCAGCCTTCAGTTCTAAAATTTAGCTTTCCTAGACCTCTGCCCCCAGATTATAGAAGACAACTCAGGATTGCTGATACTTAGTACGCACTTAACATAAACTAGTAGGGGGTGTTTTACTAAATAACTGTATATTTTCTAGCACAGTGGTTCTCAACCTTCTGGCCCTTTAAATACAGTTCTTCATGTTGTGACCCAACCATAAAATTATTTTCATTGCTACTTCATAACTGTAATGTTGCTACTGTTATGAATCGTAATGTAAATATCTGATACACAGGATGGTCTTAGGCGACCCCTGTGAAAGGGTAGTTCGACCGCCAAAGGGGTCACAACCCACAGGTCGAGAACCGCTGCACTTTACCTGACAAACTCTGAAAATATACATATTTGTAAATTAATTATTACTACTACTTCCTCTTTGATTTTTATTCAAAAACACCATAGTTTTCGTTTTTTCATATAATACTAGAGGCCCGGTGCACGAAATTCATGCGGGGGGGGGGGGGGGGGGAGGAATCTGGGATCCCTCAGGGGATGTCTGACTGCCTCTCGCAATCCAGGACCTCTGGCTCCTAACCGCTTGCCTGCCTGCCTGCTCGCCTCTAACCACCTCTGCCTGCCTGATCACCCCTAACTGCTCCCCTACCAGTCTGATCGCCCCTAACCGCTGCCTCGCCCCGCACCCGGGACCCAAGATTCCCTCCTCCGGCCAGTCGCAGGTACCCAGGATCCGGGCTGGCTTCGCCTGGGCTGGCCACAGCAGCAGGGGACTGCGGGGCAGGCAGCTTGTCCCTCTCTGGGCCACAGGCGCAGGCCCAGCCGCTGGCGCCCAGGACTACGGGGCGTGCAGCTTGTCTCTCTCCTGGGCTGCAGGATTTCTTGCTCTTTCCTCCTAGTTTCTCTGCCTCTAATTTTCTCCTTTTGTATTTTTTCTTCCTCCAAGTCATCTATCTAATTTTAAATTGTTTGGGGGGGAAATAATTTTAAGAAGCTACTTTTAAAGAAGCAGAAATTTGG